AAGGAAGGAAGGAAGGAAGGAAGGAAGGAAGGAAGGAAGGAAGGAAGGAAGGAAAGTTGTGTGTTTCTGGGCCTGACTTGTTTAATATTTTTCCTTTGTTTCCTGTGTCTTGTTGCCTCTCTTTGAGTTTCTTTCCCCTCACTGGCTCTTTTTGTTTGTTTATTGTCTCTATATTTCATTTTAGAGGGTTTCATTTTGCAGGTTTTTCCCCCAAATGTCAGAAGTGTGAGTGAATCTTTGTATTCATCATTCTGACTAAAATGCAAGAATCTGGTCAGTTAGAATCAGGGTGTTTGTGGGAGAGGAGTGTGAATGTTCTGCTTGCTGACTTAACTTTCTGAGTGTTCTGAATGCTGACTTAACTTTCTCCTAAATGAAGCGACCCTGTACTCTAAGCTCCCCAGTCTGGGTTCTATTTGGCTGCGTTCTCTTCAGCAATAAATTTCCAATTTCCTTTAGAGGAAGATGAGGAATAAATGGTGCTCACTGCTTGCTTCTCCTGGCTTGGCAGTCTCCCGGGGCCTGAGCACTCAGTACACATCTGTTCATTTCCCATGTTTTCTTAGTATCCAGTGCCTCCAGGCTGTGAACCTCCCTTCCTTCCTTGGCTCCTCAGAGCTAATGACCACATTGCAAGTGTCTGTTTCCCTTAGGTAGCAATCATTTGGCTGAGTTACCACAACTTCATAATTATTCATCCTCCTAAAACATAGTAACAATTTCTTTTTGTTTTGTTGTTGTTGTTGTTTTGGGTTTTGTTTTTGTTTTGTTTTTCTCCCTGAGACAGGTTTTCTCTGTGTAGCCTTTGGCTGGCCTGGACTTGCTTTGTAGACCAGGCTGACCTCAAACTCACAGAGATCTGCCTGCCTCGGCCTCGGCCTCGGCCTCACGGAGTGCTGGGATCACAGGCGTGCACACCGACCCTGGCTTTTAACAGCTTTCTTTGTTCCCAGTCTGCTCGTGGCCTGTAAGATCTTAGCTTTCTCTAGGGAGTGGAGTGAGTGCACAGGTTTCGTTGTTTTGGAATTATCCCTCCTTGTCACAACTCTGTGACTTGAAATATCAAGCGGTTTTTATTCTCAGGTTGTTGCGGCTTGGTTGGGACAAGATGATCTCGGACCACCTGACTCACACATAGCTGCTGGCCTGTGTCAGTTTGTATGGCCACTGTGTATCTGGCTAGCTCAGGGTCACGTGATGGTGGAAGAGTCCTTGTTAGCAACCAGCCAAGGCCAGGCATGCTGTTCACTCTCCTGTTTGTATCACATTTGCCAGTAGTATTGATCAAAGGAAGTCACATGGTCAACCCCTTCTGCATTTTCAAGTTGGGGGAGCTCCTTAAATCACTGCAAAATGGTCAATGTCCTGGAGTGCAGACTTGTGGCCATTTTCAGTGTACTGTCTTGCATTATTTTAAATTATCACTTGTATCTTCAAAAGTTGTTTTTAATTTATGAATACATACTTTAAAGACAAAGTGTAAACCCAAGATGTCTTGTGAATGTTATGTTTTATTGTCCCAGGTTTTGCTTGTATGGTGTGCTTTCTAGTATATCCAGATAAACACACAGATGTATAATCTTTAGATACAGGATTAATTGTTTCAGCCTTAATTAGATTTGACTGTATAAATCAACCTTAAGAGTTTCAAGAAGGTGACCATTATGATAGAGGTCCCTCATATTTTTAAATGTTTTTCTGCTGTGTTGATTCACAGTGGAGTTATGTAAATAAGGCAAGTACTTACTGCTTGGCAGGTCCGTAGAGACAGACAGGGTGTAGTCTGTTTACTTTGTTGCGTGCTTGTTTTCTTTTGCAGAGCACAGACTGTAAAGCTGTAGTTAGCACTGTGGAAGGCAGCTCCTTGGACAGCAGTGGATTTTCTCTCCACATTGGTTTGCGTGATGCGTATCTCCCAAGAATGTGGGTTGAAAAACATCCAGAAAAAGAAAGTGAGGTATGTTCCTTCTTAGGAGTTGGAAACACTGCCAGATGTGCTGGTAGTTCACTTAGAGAAGCTGAGGCAGGAGAATTGTCACTAGTTCAAGGCATGCCTTCGCTACATAGCAAGAAAACACCAACATGCATGCATGCATACATATGTACATACATACATAAACACACACACACACACACATACGTGAAATAGCTGGTCATAGTGCCTCATGCCTATTAATCCCAGTGCCTGGGAAGTAGAGGCAGAGGGAAATCAGGAGTTTGATGTTATCCTTATATACAAAATTTATAGCATGTGCCATGTAAGACCCTGTCTCAAAAAATATGATAATAGTAGTAGGAGCAGTCGTAGTAATAGTAATAATAAAATTAGGATATACTTGTCTACTGGAAAAAGTATGAACAAATATGCTTCTAAAGTTGGAACTTGTTTTTTGAACAGGGTCTTTCTATGGAGGTTAGGCTGGTCTTAAACTTTCGTTGTATCGCAGACTGGCCTTGAACTTGTGACTTCCCAGGTGCAAGAAATACAGGTGTGAGCCACCCTTCCAGTGTTAGCGCGGTGAGGGTAGCTCTTAGTCCTTGTATCCTTGAAGAAAGAATACAGTCTAGAGGCATAGACAGTTGAACGAGTTTGTTCAGCACAGCAAAGCAAAGCAAACACTCCAAAGAGATTGAAATGGGCTGCCCCCAAGGCAAACAGCCCAGTGTCTTTCCTCATGGATTTTAAATGTTTCCTGAGCACTTACAGAGTGGGTGGTTTGTTCATGAGTTAAGGTTACCCTTCCCCCCCCCCACAATCCTGGTGGATCACACCTTCCTCTTAGGGTATTTCTTCCTTTGATCTTCCCGAAAAGCCCACAGGATACGCAGCACAAAAGTCCCAACCTGAGTGAGGTTACAAGGGTGGCAGGTCTTTTAGGATGCAGACTGCACCTGAGAACACACATGTGTGAAAGTGGGCTGCTGCTTTGGGTCCTGACGCAGCAGGAGCAACTTCAGTACAGCTTCAAGGTGGGTTCCCTGCCCACGGCATTTTACGTGCCAGGGACCCACACGGTGGAAGAGAACTGGCTTCTGCAACTGTCCTCTGACCTCCACATGAGCCCAAGTCACACGCACACACATACATACATGTATGTTTAAAAAGAAGTTGGTACTGGAAAAACAGATAAAGGCCAGGGGATTGCTCAGCAGTCAAAGGGGCTTGCCCCCCAGCCTGACAACCTGAGCTTAGACCCCTGGAGCCCACAAGGTAGAAAAAGAAAAATGACCCCATAAGTTTTCCTCAGACTTCCGTGTGCACCCTGTGGCATGTGTGTGCCCCACACACACACATATAAACACACACACACACACACACACATACACACACACGCAAACAAAACAAATTTTTTTTAAATAAATAGAATTACTTATGGCCATAATACAATTGTGTACGTTTGTAGCAAAGAACTGCTACTTCAGTTAAAATTAAAACTGAACCTTGGGGCTGGCAAGGTGGCACATGCCATGAAGTCCGAAGGCCACGTGGTAGAGGAAGAGAATAAGTTGTCCTCTCACTTCCACACACATGTGCCCATACACACTGCACACTAAATAAACAAATAATAAAGTAACTTAGAAGAAAAACAACGTAAGGGGCTGGAGTTGGTAAGAGCACTGGCTGTTCTTCCAGCGGAGATAGGTTTGACTGACAGCGCCCACGTGGCGACTCACAATTGTCTGTAACTCTGGTGCAAGGGGATCTGACACCCTCTTTTTGCCTACAGGGACACCTGCTCTACACACGGTGCATAGATGATCATGCAGACAAAACACCCACGCACAAAAAAATAAAATAAAATAATTGACAACTGAAACTTACCTGACAGTAGGACTGTGTTATGTACTGCTTGACAAGAGGTTCCTGCATGTATTTTAGCAGTGACCACGACGTCTGTATTCCTTCTAGAATAGTGTGTGGGTGAGAGAGATGTGTCGTTCACCCATTGTCTGTACATGGTTAGAGCCTGTGATTTTTTTTTTTAAGATAGGCTATGTTTGAGGGACCAGAGCCTGTGTCGCCCAGGCTGGCCTGAGAGTCCGTAAACTTCTGATCCTCCTGCCTCTACTGCTCATGGGTAGGAACCACAGGAACACCACCTCCAGCTTCGTGCAGTGCTGGAGACTAGGCCAAGGTCTTAGTGCGCACTAGGCAAACGCTACCCCGGGAAGACTCTCGACTCCTTGGGCGTTTTGTCACGCGTGGTTAGGTGTTCATCTCTAACCTTCTGCTCGCTATCTGAATGCCTAGGCCGCCCCCTCCCTTAACTCCTCATAGGTCATTTTATTATTGACTTGGAGTGGTGGTGTAGCCCTGTAACTTAGCACTTTGGAAGAATAGGCAAGAGGATCAGAAGGTCACGGTCACTCTTGACAATACTGCAAATTTTAGGCTAGTCTGTCACACAGTGGAGACTGTCTCAAAAGAACGAAAAGAGAAATCTTATCCACTTTGTTTTGGTAGCATTAGTTTACTAGAAGGTTTTCGTGTGTGTGTGTGTGTGTGTGTGTGTGTGTGCGCGTGTGTGTGTGTGTGTGTGTGTAAACATGTACCACAGAGAGCATGTAAAGGCCAGAAGAAAACTTTTTAGAGAGGTTCTCCAACCCCCCTATGGCTTGGGGGGTTTGAAGTCAGGTCATCAGGCTTCAACAGAAGCCATTTCTACCTGGGGAGCCATTTCCCAGGCCCCAGAAGCTGTTAGAATTGTGGAGTTTTCCCAAGTAAGTTGCAGGACGCTCTTTGTCTCCTTTTAGGCTTGCATGCTTGTCTTTCAACCGGATCTTGCGGCCACCCTTCCCGACCTCCGTGAAAAGAATGAAGTGATCATTTGTCTTGACTGCTCCAATTCCATGCACGGCGTGACATTCATGCAAGCCCAGCAAGTCGCCCTGTACGCCCTGTCTTTGGTGGGGGAGGAGCAAAAGGTGAACATTCTGCAGTTTGGCACAGGTGAGTGCACTGTCCCCAGTCCCTCGTGTGTCTCCTCTTTAACACGGGCACGTGCTGTGCAGAGTGGTGACCGTTGGGGCCTGGCCTCGTCTGTGCAGTAGGAGACAGCTTAGCATGAAGCAGACACGTCAGCGCCTCTGCCATTCATCAGCTTAGTAGTCACTTCGGGCAAGTCTGCTTGAACTCTTGGTGCCTTCAGTTTCTTCCTTATCTGTACAGTAAGAGTCCTTACCCCATGGCGTTGTAAGTGTGGAGCTAATGTGTGCCGAGGATTTCAAGCTTTACTACACAGTGAGTGAGACACAAATGTGATTAAGTAACCATCGGCTGAACAAAACGCAAGAACTGTGGTTTATCTAACAGGAGGGTCTGAAGAGTCAGGACATTTGCAGCCAGCCCAGTCATAGATAACATGTAAGAAATGAGCTCAGGCAGCACCAGGCCAGCACTGCTAGAAGGTCAGTGTCACCTTCTAGGGAGGAGGGCAGGGACAGCTCAAGAATGTGACAGGGCAGAGCTGGGAGTGGTGGCTTAAATCTCTGGGTCAGGTCAATGGCCTAACCACCAAATAAGAGTCACTTAAAATGGCTTAATCAGTTATTTGGCTGTGCCATCCTACTCGGGTATTGGCCAATGGCAAAGGGATTGTAAGAAGAATCTCAGGGTAAACAATTATTGCCACGGACTAACTCAGCTGGGTTCCACAACTGCGGGCGAATCAGGGTTTTTGGATATCAGGTTAGACACAGGTAGGCGAATGACAGACAAAGGCCACACCATAATAGTTTTGACTCTGCTGCGATTTTACTGAAGTCAGGCTAATAATTTTATAGTAATTACATAAGGAAACACCTTAAAGTTGGCATATTTCCCAGAACACTTAGATTTTTACCAAGAATACAAAGTTTACATTTTAACTCGAAAGTGTAGCCAAACATAAAGCAGTGGCCACAAGAAATCTTGGCCTGAGAACTTTTTGATCAAAGCAAACAAAGGACAAAAAAAACTCAAACTGCAGTTTTATTATTGCTAACCAGTGAAGAGGAAAGTCAGGAGCTAAGTCAGATGCCTGCCAAAATCTTTCTCTGCATCAAAGTCTAAATACACCTTTGTTAACCGTCCTCCCATATGTCTTGCTAAAGATTTATAATCTTCCTTAGAAACATGACGCAAAAGGAAGGCATGCTCGAGCCAGCTGTACTTTCCCATGCTCTCTTTCCGTAAAGAGGAGTCCATTATTTTTTGCTATTCTTGTAATGCTTCCTGATACTGAATCTGATTCATTACTTCTTTTAAAATTTTATTTTTCTTTTACTCTATTTTTGCTAAAGCTTTTAATAATCTATCAAAGATATATTTTCTTGAATAGTTAATTGTGCTGTTCTAAAAATCACAAAGAAAGAACAAAAGGCTCATTAATCCAATCTTGCATTTGAGAAAACAGGATTTTTAGAGTACGTTTCTTTGGCTTAGATGGCCAGAAGGAACATCCAGTGACTTCCAGGGAGCTGATTCCCATGGGAAATGTGTCTCCCATCTAGCAGTATAATTTTATGCTTATATAGCACATTTTTATGCTCATATAGACGACTCTGGAATTAGTGTGGCAAATTATATGGTTAATAGTGCCTTTGACCTGGCATGACAGTTCATCTGTGTAATCCCAGCAGTCCAGAGGCTGAGGCAGGAGGACTGGCAAGAGTGCAAGGCTAGCCTGGGCTATATTGTGCATTCTAGGCTAGCCTGGGCTACAGAGCAAGACCCCATCTCAAAAATGAATGAATAAATAAATAACTCAGGGATGGAAGAAGGAACATAGAGTAGGGTCAGGGGACAGTCCTGTCCTCCTGAGCCTCATCTTCTATGCCACCCATCTCCTTTTACAATGAAGCTGTATTGTCCTGTCAAGAACATGGATCATTTAGAGATGGCAGGCATTTGCTGGAGACGCTGCCCTGCCAGGGTTGAGCTGCCCATGCCACTACAGTGTCCTACACCTTGCTTTGCATGGATGATGCAGAGATCTGTACTTGGAGCTTGGCTCAGAACCTCGTATTTGGTGCAGCTTACAGAATATGCTTGAAATGTGGTTTTGTATGTAAAAATGCTCGTACATAGTTTTCTGAAAGGGAAACATACACAGAAATGTCTAGCATTCCTTATGGTAGAAGCTATGGTGTAAAGCAGCATCGGTGTTTGCTAGTGGTCAATCTGGTGAGTGTTTAATGGCAATGTACCACACCTTCTTGCACAGGCTACAAGGAGCTATTTTCATATCCTAAGTATATCGTGAGCAACAAAATGGCCACGGAGTTCATTACGGTAAGAGAACTGCCCTCCCCTCCGGAGTCTTTGTCTGCAAAGCTTGAGTGCTGTGGTCCAGCACTTAACCCTGGATGTTTTGCACATTGGTGGATGTGAGTCAGCTCCTCTACAGATGCACAAGATAAACCAACTCATAAGGAGGAAGGTTGCATTTGTTCACGCTTGCAAAGGTGTCAGTCTGTACTTGCCTGGCCATTTGGCTTTGGCTCTTTGGTAGCCCAGCACAGTACAGCAGAGGTCATTCACCTGAGGGCTCAGAAGCAAAGAAAGGCAGGAAGGAGCCAGGGGCCCAGGATCTCCTTCTCTAAGGACACACACCCCAATTTGAATCTTAGTACACTCGGTCCCATCTGCTCCCAATAGCACCCACAGGCAGGTGCTAAAGGTTTGACTGTAAGGTTCAAATCCCTTTATGGGATGGGAGATGTCAGCTTTCCAACCTATAGCAGTGCCCTGTGATGAGGATGGTGATGGTGATGATTATAGTGATGGTAGGATGATGGTGATGGTGAGGGGGGTGGTGATGGTGCGGATGGTGGTGATGGTGAGGATGATGGTGATCGTGAGGGGGGTGGTGATGGTGCAGATGGTGGTGATGGTGCGGATGGTGGTGATGGTGCGGATGGTGGTGATGGTGAGGATGGTGAGGATGGTGGTGATGGTGAGGATGGTGGTGATGGTGGTAGTGATGGTGAGGATGATGGTGATGGTGAGAATGGTGGTGAGGGTGAGGATGGTGGTGATGGTGGTAGTGATTGTGATGATGGTGATCGTGAGGATGGTGGTGATGGTGGTGATGGTGAGGATGGTGAGGATGGTGAGGATGATGGTGATGGTGAGGGTGTGGTGATGGTGATGGTGATGGTGAGGATGATGGTGATGGTAATGGTTTAGGATGATAATCTCAGCACTCAGCAGGTAGAGGATCAGGAGTTCAAGGACATGGTCAGCTAACCTTATAAATTTGAGGCCAGCCTGAGCTGTGCCTGTCTGAAAACTAAGAAAGGGGTTGGTGAGATGGCTCAATGGATAAAGGCAGGGCTGAGTTCCACCCCAGGCCCTGCATGCTGGAAGAAGAAAACTGGTTTACCTAAGCTGTCGTATGACCTCCACACATGCACCACAGCAGCCACAAGCCCCCGCCCCAGACACACACATGACTCAATATAATAAAAAATTAAATAACCTTAGAGTGACCAAGGTTATGTTTCTGTTATGCTTTGCCATCCGTTAGCCCCTATTTTCCACATAGAGAAGAACATCGTTCTGCCAGCCAGGCAGGGTGACCCTGGTTAACAGCTGCCCAAAAAGAATGGGGACAATATCTTTGCTGCATAAATCTCCCACTTGTCCAAAACGGCCAAGCTCACAGTTCCTGCCTCTGTAAAACATGTTTAATTGCTCAAAGTATAGCTGGGAGCTGCTCAATATCTGTCAAAGCTGCAAAGGACCTCTGCTCAGGACCAGTTTCTCTTTGGGCATTTGCCAAATGCACTATTAATAAAGAGCTTTTCCCCTCAGTATTCCCTGGATGTTTTGAGGGAATCCTTACTTGGTGGGGAAAGGAAGGCCAGAGGGAGCCTTAAGTTGTCCTAACATCCGGAGTGTAGTGGGTTCCATGTTCACCCCACGCTAGCGATGGACGGACCTTAAGATGCCTTCTCTCCTGCAGTCTGCAGCGCCTGCCATGGGGAACACAGACTTCTGGAAAGTTCTCCGCTATCTAGGTTACCTGTATCCTTCTGAAGGGCTGCGGAACATCCTCCTCATATCTGATGGTCATCTCCAGAGCGAGAGCCTGACATTGCAGCTTGTGAAAAGAAATATCCAGCACACCAGAGTGTTCACCTGTGCTGTCGGGTAAGCATCAGAGATGAGGTCACCAGAGTGACAGTAGCCGCTAGTGGACAAGCGTTTAGTCAGCTGTCTGGGAGTTTTGCAAGCATGGAGGTGGGTATGAGCATATGAATTCTGTGCGTCAAGGAGGACCCAGGCTCTGCTTGGAGCCATGCTGCCATGTGTCACAGCCACAGGGACCTTGGGCAGGCTGCTTCATCTATAAAACGGAGATAACAATGAGGGGAACCGAGGCTACCCTCGACTCCTGATTCATGCCTCCAATTCACAAGTGTACCATCATGCCCAGTTCCTTTTAAGGCTGTTGTTTGTTTGTTTTAAGTGTGGAAGTATAAGACTTTATTTGCTTATTGTTTAATGTTTTGCTGTGGAGGTCTCTGCAAACACCATGGCCAGCAGAGTGTCATCTGTGTGAGGCAAGAAGGAAGTCCAGCTCAGCACAACTCAGCAGCCTATGTTCAGACTTCTAGAGTGTGGGACCAGGAACGGTTTTTGTTTGTTTGTTTTGTTTTGTTTTGTTTGACGTATTTAAGTAGAGTACAATTTGGGGGGAATAAAAAGATTTCTTGCCATAACCCAATCCCATGTGCACAGTAGAGCTTAAGACATAATTACATGTAAAGTACATGTCACCTCTTCCCGGTCACCTTAAAGGCTTGGAGGAGGATCTGGCCTTGTTGCACATGTCTGCCTTTGAAGAGACAACCTCACATGCTCAGCATTCCTGGTTTCCTGGTGCGCATGATGCCCTCTACATTTTGCCAGCACTGTGTTGACTCGGGAGCCTCGTCTGCCCTGGGCCTGCTCTGCCTTGAGCACACCCCAGTGCCCCTTCTCCATTTTCTGTTTAACAGCAACAAACAAGCAAATTCTTCATTCATTGCTAAGGTCTATCTCACAGCTATGTCTAGAATGTCTTAACATTTTCTGGGCTTAGTGGCACAAGCTCTTAACGTCAGCTCCTGACAGGCTGAAGCAAGAGGAATGTAAGTTCAAGGCCAGCACAGGCTACTGAGTAAGACCTGTGTAAAAACTAACAGCTGAGCTTGGAATGATGTTATATACCTGTAAGAGGTGGAAAGATTGCCCCACCTGGACCACAGAATGAGACTCGTAAAAAAAAAAAAAAAAGGAAGAAGTGTCTTAAAAATTAAAGCATGCACCAGGCGTGGTGGCACACGCCTGGAATTCCAGCACTGGGGAGGTAGAGGCAGGCATAGCTCTGTGAGTTCAAGGTTAGCCTGGTCTACAAAGAGAGTCTAGGACAGCCCAGGCTACACAGAGAAACCCTGTCTAGAAGAAACACACACACAAAAAAAATTAAAAATGAAAACCTGTGAAATGTGATCAGTTCTACAGCAAATCGTCACATCTTACGGACCTTGTCTCGGTGCGGTGCTGGAGTATTTGAATATTTTAACTCAAAATCCAAACAGAATTGGAAAAAACAGGTATGTGTTGTGTTGTTTTTAATATCCTATGTGTACTCCTCTGTTTACATGTAGAAATTCTATCTCCCTATAAGTGCAATAGAAACTTCTATCTTTTGTGAATATACACAGAGAAACTGTGTCATAAAAAAACAAAAATAAACAAACACACACACACAAAATTTACAAGGCGGGGGCAAGGGGTACTGGAGAAATGGCTCAGAGGTTAAGAGCACTGGCTGCTCTTCCAGAGGTCCAGTTCCTAGCAACCACATGGTGGCTCACAATCATATAAAATGAGATCTGGTGCCCTCTTCTGGCAAGCAAATGTACATGCAATCAGAACACTGTACATGATAGATAGATAGATAGATAGATAGATAGATAGATAGATAGATAGATAGATAGATCTTTACAAGTCCATTTCATTGGTATAAGTTCATTCACAATGTTGTTTAACCATCATTACTAACCATTTCTAGAACTTCCCCACCATCCCCAACAGAAAGTCTATAATAAAATATAATATAAATTAAATATAATAATAATAATATCAACAATGACTCTGCATTGCCGCCTGCGTCCAGTGCTTGGCAGTGTGTATTTGACTTCTGGTCTTTATGAATTTGCCTTTTCCAAATACTTCTCTGTGCAGAGGCAGAAAACATTTGCTCTTTTCTTCTTTTGTATCTGGTTTATTTAACTTAACATGATGTCCACAAGACATCTGTGTTATTGTTTTTATGGACTTTCTTTTTATTTTAAGGCCAAATATTTTATTATTTTTTAATTGGGTTTTGAAAAAGGAGTTGCATGAAATCCAGGCTTGAAGCCGGGCTTGAACTCCTGATCCTATTGCCTCCATAACCCAAGTGTTGAGATTACAGATGAGTGCCACAGCACTTAGGGATAAGTAATAGTGTATCAAATATACATATATTATTATTCTATCGTAGATGATCGATACATAGATAGATAGATGATAGGTAGATGGATAGTAGATAGATGATAGACAGACAGACAGACATGCACACACACCCCTCATTTTTTTAGTTGTTAACCTGTCATTAAACTTGGCTATTCCCACACGTGCTGCCGTGAACGGCACCTCTGGGAATGCTGGCACGCAGTACCTGGCTGAGCCCTTCCATTTGTTCCATTCTGGGTTCATTCTCAGAAGTGGAATTGCTGATTCATATAGTGTCTGATTCACTTTTTTAGGATCTTCCACTCTTCTTTTCTGCTGCAGATACACATTTTACATCCCACTGGCAATGACCCAGAGCTGCTGAGCTTGTATGGCAGGCGACTGCACTGGCTGAGCCATCTCCACAAGCTGAAATCGAAAATTTTAAATATAAATTTTTAAATTCTTGGCACGTACCTTTGAGCCCAGTACTCTGGAGGTAGAGGCAGGTGGATTACTGTGAGTTTAAGGCCAGCCTGGTCTACAAAGCAGCCAGGAAGGCTGGCTAGGGCTATATAGTAAGACCCTGTCTCTTTCTATATATATGTATGTATGTATATAATTCCCCCTTTGGAAAAGTACCCCATGACAAAACAAAACAAAAAGCTATAAAATCCCTAAAGACAGCCTGCAGGCTTTGAAGTGTTAAGTATCTATTTTGTGGTCTGTTTACTTTATGGCCCTCGGCACTGAAACCACACTATCATCCAGACAAGCCACACCCTACCAACTGATGTATATATCTGGCCTTTTTTTTTTTTTTTCAGCTGTTAACATTAAATTAGAAGTATTTGCCCTTCTATTGTAGATAGAAGCCCAAATGGCCAGGGTGCGTTCCCCAGGCTGCCACTCGGTGTCTGTCAAGTGGCAGCAGCTTAGCAGAGACGCCCCTGAGCCCCTGCAGGCTCCGGCGAGGGCGCCCTCCTTGTTTCACAACGATCGCCTCCTCGTCTATGGCTTCATTCCTCACTGTACGCAGGTAAGAAGATGTGTGATTCCTTACACTGGGAAAGGGAATGGAGTTGCTATTGCTCTTCTCCCCCACCCCACCCCCTTTCCCTTTTGTTGGCATTGTGGTTCCCCTCTGGGTCCCTGGGTGGGGAAGCTCTTGATTCTCGTGAGAGGGGAGGTTGTCTCCAGAAGAGCTGCGGTTACACTAGCCCACACACTGGAAGGCGAAGCGCTAACAAAGCACTCGTGTTTCTCCTACTGCAGGCAACTCTGTGTGCAGTCATCCAACAGAAGAAATTCTGTACAATGGTGTCTACTACTGAGCTCCAGAAAACAACTGGGACTGTAAGGCTCAAATCTTAAACTACTGGGTAGAACTCAGTGAGAGAGCACTAGCCAAGCAGATAGAAGGCTCTTCCATTTCCAGGCGCACACACACACTCTTAAGCTATGGGCAGAAAGTTACACTTTTTTTTTTTTTACATATAAGCTCCATATAAACTTCCTCTGTTGTTCTGAGCTGCTGTGTCAGCACACGTGTGGAAGGTGGTCAGGGGTTTTCTGTGCAATTGGGATGTGGACACATCCCTTAAATGGGTCTTCATCTGGACTCTTGATCTGGGCGTATCTCCACAGGTGTCCATGGGCACAAATAACTACAAATAAACATACTTCCTTGTAATTGGTGTGTGCCCACTTACAGCCCCAGCACCTGGGAGGTAGAGGTGTTAGGATTAGAAATTTGAGGTCATCTTTGGATACAAAGCAAGGTTGAGGCCAGCCTGGGCTACATCAACCTTTTCTCAAAACAAACAGTATTCCATGGGCATGGCAGGGGCATGGAAGGGGCATGGCGCACAAGAATGCAGGGCAGCTGGGACTGCAGACATACGACCTGCAAGATCAAGCCAGCTGAGATTCCAGCATGTGTCCACAGCTGGCCTAGAGCTTGATTTGTAGCTTGAGGTTGGCCTGAGTTCCTGGTCCTCCTAAATGCTGGATTACAGGCATGCACACGTGGATAATGATGCATTTTTAAATTACGTGTTTCTTCCTTTTATTTTGCCTGTTTGTGTGTGGCACAAAAGCCACAGTGCATTTGTGGAGGTCAGTGAGGATAGGAAGGTTCTCTCCCACCATGTGGGGTCTGAAGCTCACGCTCGGGTTGTCAGGCTTGGGGGAGGTCAGGTGTTGACACTTACCCTCAGTGTTGCTGGTGTGGCAGAAGAGAAGGGACCTGAGCTTGCTGCAGTGGCTCACGACTGTCATCCCAGCACAGTCCTGCATGGAGTAGGTAGAAGGCAGCAAAGATGGGAGAGTCTCCGGAAGCTTGCTAGCCAGCTAGCCTGGCTAATACAGGAACAAGGAGACCCAGTCTCAAACATGGTCAAAGTGCGGAAACTGACACCTGCTGGCTGTGCTCTGACCGTCACACATTCTTTGAGCCACACACATGAGCAAACACACACATATGCACTCGTGTGTCTCTCCCACATGTGTAGCCATTTTAACCATTTCCCCCTTGCTGCTAAAACACAGCTGATCCACAAGCTGGCGGCTCGAGCGCTGATCAGAGATTATGAAGACGGCATTCTCCATGATGACGAAACCAACCACGAGGTTCGTGCTCCCAGCAAACGCCATTATGCTTTTTTCTGTGTCGCTCTTAAGTTGATCTGTTCATAGAAATATAAAGGGGGGGGGGCTGAATAGGGAAGAATGTGATGTTGGGGCACCTGTCAACATCTGTAACATCAGTCTGGGGTGCACGTGCTCAGGGCTGTTGGCTGAATTCATTGATGAGCGCACTAATGGCGGTGACTCTCTGAGACTTCTGTGGTTTTCTCCCCCTGAGAACAGTCTGGAGGAGCGCTCAGAGGATAGCCATCATCTCTCAGCTGAGCTGTAACTCAGCAGCTCAGGGACAGGGTGGTGGTAAGATGCCTCAGGACACTGGGCGGAGTCACTCACCTTGTTCCCTCCTTGATGGACAGAGGAGGGTCCTGGCACAGGGGCCTTGTTGGCCAACCACTGTGAGAGTCAGGCTATGCTCTTGAAGGAGGCTCAGTTATCACGTAGTGCATCTGATTGGCTTTGCTTTAAATAATCCTAAACAAGTAAAGATACCTGCTTTGCCGTGGGAGCCATAGACTTTGAGAGAACGAGGAACTCACAGCAAGTGACAGCTCTCTGCAAGCTGCAGAGGGCTGTGTAACTAAATTGCTTAAATCACAGGAAGCATGTGACCTCCTTAAGAGGCAGGCTCCCTGACTCGGTGTCTAACTTGAGATACTAGGAAAGTATTTCTTTACTTAGGGCGGGAGACATGACGCAGTTGGTAAGAGGACTTAAGTAGCACATACAAGGCTCTTAACCCAGTATCCAGACTGTTCCCAGGCATGATGGCGCTCACCTACAATCCCAGCACTTGGAAAGCAGAGGCAGACAGCAACACAGCTGAGTCCCAGGCCAGCCTCAAATCCAGGAGATGCTACTGCAAAAGAAATGGAGGAGGCAGAGGCAGGTGGATCTGAGTTCAGGGCCAACCTGGTCTACATACCAAGTCCTGGGGGTACACAGTAAGACTGTCTCAAAAAGAAGTTTTTAAAGAAAGACGAAAAAAAGAAAGACAAGGAAATGAATGAATACATTAAATATTTAGTCACAGAAAAACACTTCAGATTATTTTATGTCCTTTTGATCTCAGTATACATAAACTAACAGTCTCATTCTATCTTAGATGAAGAAAAAGATCATGAAATCTCTGATTATTGAACTCAGTAAAGAAAACTCTCTTATTACACAATTTACAAGCTTCGTGGCAGTTGAGAAAAGGGTATGTATTATTACTAATTTATGATTAAACTTTCTGTTTTGGTTTTCAGAGACAGGGTTTCTCTGTGTAGCCCTGGCTGTCCCTAGAGCTAACTCTGTAGACCAGGCTGGCCTCAAACTCAGAGATCCACCTGCCTCTGCCTTCTGAGTGCTGGGATTAAAGGAGTGTGCCACAACTGACCCTGTAAAGTTAAACTTATTTAGTCACTATTGGCTGGAGAAACAGCTCGGCTAGGACCCAAATTCAGTTCCCAGAACCCACAGATGGATTACAACAGCAACTCTACCTCCAGGAGAGTGCCCTCTTCTGGCCTCTGTGGACACCCAATAAAAATTCTTTTTTGTTTATTTGAAGTAAGTGTAGACCAGGCTGACCCATAACTCATAATTAGACCAGGCTGGCCTCAAACACAAAGAGAGTCTCCTACACCCATATCTACTTCCTGAGTTCTAGGAGTAAAGGTATGTGCCACCACATACATCCAGCTAAAAATACTTAAAAAAAAAAAAATCACTGTTGCAAGAAGGGATGGTGCAGGCGTTTAATCCCAGCACCAGGAGGCAAAGGAAGGTAGATCTCTGTGAGTTCCAGGCCAGCTGGGGCTACACAGTGAGACCCTGTCTCAAAACAGACAAACAAACAAAAAAGCAAAAATGAGTAAATAATTAAATTTAAAAACAGTAAGCATTTTTCTGGGTTTGGAGGCGTACCTAGCACTCAGGAGGCAGAGGCAGGAGGCGACTGAGTGAGTTCAGCCCAGGCTACACAAGAAAATTCTGTGTCAAAACAGCAACAACCAGTTATGGTGACACATACCTGATAATCCTAGCACTTCATAGGCAGAGACAAGAGGACTGCCTGATCTACATTGTGAGTTCTAGGCCACTAGGGCTACATAGGGAGATTGTATACTAAGAAAACAACAACAAAACCCAAAAGGTCACTCTTTCTCTGATCAGTAATGACAGTGGCCACTCCGGGGCTGTGAAGGTCAAAGTGGATAGAAGGCAGGAGGTCTTAGGGCCTCACACCAGCACTTACTCTACATGAATTGCATGTTGTTTGAGGTAGGTTTCTGTTGCTCTGATAAAACACGTTGACCCAAAGCAAGCTTAGAGGAAAGGGTTTATTTCATTTAAAGGCCATAGTCTTTCATTGAAGGAAATCAAGACAAAATCCTAGAGGCGAGAACTGAAACAGAGGCCATGGAGGCTTGCTTAGAACCACCTGACAGGGATGGGACCAGCCACAATTAGCTGAGCCCTTCCATATCAATCATCAATCAAGAAAACACCCCCGCAGGTTGCTTACAGTCCAATCTGAGGGAGGCATTCCTCAGCTGAGAGTCCTTCCTCCCACATGAGTCTAGCTTTCATGTTGACAAAAAAACTAACAGTCTGTGTTAGTATTTTTAGTTACTATTTCTGGTTACTATTTGTATGTGAATTTTAAGATATGGAAGCCAGGTGGTGGAGGCACACACCTTTAACCCCAGGGCAGGCAGAGGCAGGTTGAGCTTAGGCCAGCCTGGTCTGCAGAGTGACTTTCAGGACAGCCAACGCCACATAGAAAAAACAAAGCAAACAAACAAAAATATTATCTGTAGTAGTTTGGGGCTAGGATGTAGTAGCATGCTGGAGTTAATCCCCAATACGTAACCATGCACAAAAAAGTCATACTATAATTTTATTACAGTTTTAAATTTCTAGATTTGTTTTTCAGATTGGCTTTTAGGCAAGCCTTTGGGGAGTTTTCTTGATTTGTGATTGATATGGAAGGACCCCGATAGCCAGGGATGTATGATCCAAGTATACGCCCTGATATCCTAAACCCAATATCCACAAGGCTTCAGAATATGCTAATTATTTAATCTGATAATATCTTTCTTAAAGATTTAACCCAATTGTGATTCTATATAGGACAATGATGAGATTCCTTTTGCTAATGTCCCAAGTATTTCGGAACTTATTGCCAAAGAAGATGTAGACCTTCTGCCATACATGAGTTGGCAGGAAAAGCAGCCAGAGGCCTTCACAAGGCAGGTAAGTGCTATCACCAAATTCAGCCCCCCACTGCCTAACATGGGGGTGTTCCGAGAACATCAGTGAAGATTTCACGGCTCTGTGGACATCCTAGAGTGAACTCACACAAGCCCAGTGGTCCATGGCAGTTACTGAATGAGTAGACTTCATGAACTCAAGAGATACAGTAACCACAAGACATACGAAGCCACTGCTGGAGCACGGCAAACTGTTGGCAGTAGCCTTGTTTGAATTAAATGAATAGAATAGAACCAATACTTTTTTTGGTAGGGTCTCTCTGTATGGCCCTGACTGTGCTAGAACTCACTAGAGTTCTCACTAGTAGGCCATGGTGGCTTCGAACTTGCAGAGATAAGCCTGCCTCTGCCTCTGCCTCTGCCTCTCAAGTGCTAGGATTAAAGGCGAGAGCCACCACTCCCAGCCACGGAAAGACTAAGCTCTTAACAGAGGGTTTATAGAAGAGTTGGGAGCTCAGTGTGACACACAGAGTTCATCTTGGGATACATTAGATTCTGCCTCAAAGGGAAAAAAAGGTAAATAACAAAGAAGCCTGTTGATGTAGCTCAGTGGTAAAGCCCACAGTGGATGAAGCCCTGGTTCCTACTCCAGCATGGTTAATTAATACAAGAGTGACATGAGGCTGGCAAGATGGCTCAGCAGGTTAGGGCTCCTGCCATCAAACCCAGGACCTGAGGTAGAGCCCCAGACCCACGTGGTGGAAGGAGAGAACCAGCTTTCTCAGTCTGTCCTCTGGCTTCCACACACACAAAATAAGCAAGCATAATAAAAAGAACTCAGCAGTTCAGAGCACTTGCTGTTCCTCTTGCAGAGGACCCGGGTTTGATTCCCAGCATGTACATGGTGCCCCACAACTATCTATAACCCCAGCTCTAGGGGCCCCGACTCCTGCCCCCCAAGAGCCCCACGCGTACCTGTGGTACACATACATGCATGCAAGCCAAACATTCATACACATAAAACAACAAAGTAAAACTAAATCTTTAAAAGCAATTACAGCATAACAAATACATAAAACAGTACAGCCAGGGGCTGGGGAGATGGCTCAGAGGGTAAGAGCAAGGGCTGCTCTTCCAGAAGACCCGGTTTTGATGTAAGCTGCATCTACATGGCAGCTTACAACTGTCAGTTATCCCAGTTCCAGGGGAGCTGATGCCCTCTTCTGGCCTCTGGAGGTACTGCGAGCACAGGGTACATACACATACGTGCAGGAAAAACAGCCATACACATAAGAAACCTTTAAAAAATAAAGTCTTAAAAAAAGAATTACATACTTACCCGTGTGTGCCATGCCATGCTTTTATACAGCTGGCAATGCGGTAGGTTGTACCCAGCAGCCCACAAACCTGTTAATATCTGGCGGTGGAGCATCACAGTGGTTACCTGTCAGTAGACAACAGGGACTTTTTGGCCCCACTTTAATCTATGGCAACACCATTGTTCATACAACGTGCCACACATAAAGTAAAACGTAGGGCTGTAGATTGATACTGTGCTTTATGTCGTCATGACAGTGAGGGGAACCCTTGGCCAAAATAACACCTCTCTTACCCATGTATGTAGAGAATGTCTCCTTGAGAATGTAAAATACTCATCACTTATGAAAATTCTGGTGTAACACCAAGACATCTGCCCTTTAGGAATTCACTGTAAAGTACAAAAGAGCATGGCTGACAAACTGTCCACAAATACACTCCCTGGAGGAGAAGCAGGAGGATTGCTCACATTAGCTTGTTAAGTTCATAGTAAGTTCTAGGCCAGCCAGGGCTGCACGGTAAGACCTTGTCTCAAAACAGAAATAAAAACAAAACCAGAAAGGGGAGATAGAAAGGCCTAGAGGGAACAGGAGCTCCATAAGGAGAGCAACAGAACCAAAAAATCTGAGCACAGGGGCCTTTTCTGAGACTGATACTCCAAACAAGGACCATGCATGGAGATAACCTAGAACCCCTGCACAGACGTAGCCCATGGCAGCTCAGTGTCCAAGAGGGTTTCCAATAATAGGAATAAGGACTGTCTCTAACATGAACTGCTTGGCCTGCTGTTTGATCACCTCCCCTTAAGGGGGGAGCAGCCTTACCAGTCTACAGAGGAAGACAATGCAGCCAGTCCTGATGAGACCTGATAGACTAGGATCAGATGGAAGGAGAGGAGGACCTCCCCTATCAGTGGACTAGGAAAGGGGCATAGGAGAAGAGGGAGAGAGGGTGGGATTGGGAGTGGCTGGGGGAGGGGGCTATAGCTGGGATACAAAGTGAATAAACTATAATTAATAAAAATAAAATTAAAAATTGAAAAAAAACTTGTAGCTAATTCTCAAGGAGTGAGCAGTGGCAGGAGGGTCCCTGTTTCAGAGCCCAGAGTGTAGCCTGGCTTACACCCCAGGTTCAAGCCACTCTGAGCTATGTAGATAGACACTTCAAAAAAATTTTTTTCTAAGTTAGATAATTGAACATCAGTAAAATACAGTGATTAAGACCACAGGCTCTGCCAATCGCCAGCACTCGGGAGGCAGAGGCAGGTGGATCTCTGAGTTTGAGGCCAGGCTGGTCCACAAAGTGAGTTCAGAACACCCAGGGCTACTCAGAGAAACCCCGTCTCAACAAAGCAAAGAAGACCACACAGGTGGGGCAAATGGATAGACCTGACTCTCAGACCCTGCTGAGCCCTGTGGCCTGGAGCTTTTCCATGTGCTTTTCCACTGTGAAAAGGGCACAGTACAGATCGAGTTCTCCAACCCAGAATTTGAAAATGCTGCAAGCTGGGCATGGTGCCCACACCTTTAATCCCAGCATGCAGGAGACAGACACAGGTAGAGCTTTGTGAGTTCAAGACCAGCCTGGTCTACAAAGTAAGCTCTAGAACAGCCAGGGCTATGTAGAAAGACACCGTAGAAAGAGAGGCAGAGGCAGAGAGAGCTCCCAAATCTATGAAGCCCCTATGTGACTTCACAAATGGAAAATCCCACAACAGGTGCAGTCACAGTAAAGAAACACTAAGCATGTCATAGTATTTCCTTCACGGTACAAGCATAAAGATGTCTGTAGAACAGAAGTGATTCTCAAAACCTGCACCCAAAACCTGAGATGGCTTGTGGTGTATATTGCAATATTCTAAAAATCAGGGGGAAAAGCCTCAAATATGAAGCATTTCATTAAAAGTATGCTCAGGCAATCCTAGGGTTGAGAAGAGCGAAGGGCCTGGTCCCGTTGCACTTCCCAACTAGTCTGGCTGTGGCAGGTATTGCGTTAGCTGCCATTGCGAGCAAGAGTTTTTGAAATGGACTGTGTCAAGCCAGAAGCCTCAGGAATAGCACAGCCTGCTCAGCCTCTGCCTAGGTCACTGTGTCCACGTCTGTGCAGCAGTTAGGTGGGAGGCACCTCCCGTACAGGAAAGACTGCCTAAGGTGGAGTGTGCGTGAGAAGCAAGGAGAACACTGAGTTCCTGTGTTTACACTTGGCTCGTTTTTTTCTTGTTTTTGCTTTTATTTATTTTCTTTTTTATTTTATTATCTTTTTTACTTAGTTTCTTTTTTAAGATTTATTTTTTATTTATACAGCATTCTGCCTGCATGTGTGCTTGCAGGACAACAGGGGGCACCAGATCTCATTATAGATGCTTATGAGCCACCATGTGGTTGCTGGGAATTGAACTCGTGACCTTTGGAAACACTGCTTTTAACCTCTGAGCCATCTTTCCAGCGCCCCCCAACCCCCTTTTCCCAGTGCCTTGTGTATGCTAAGCAAGGGTTGTTCTCTTTCTCAAAACTGTGACGTGCGTTCATCTCTCAAGAGGACAGCTAGGTGGCATGGGGAGGGGAAAGGATGTATTAAAGGACACTTGCTCTGTTCTAAATATATTCATTTGCATACTTTTACACTTGTACCATAGGCAAAGACTGAAACTTTGAGACTAAAGCAAGATGAAGTCACTAATGGCAACAGATTGTCACAGGTATACCTTTAAACAGAACTATACATGATGACTTTTCAGAGAAAAAAAGAAAACATTTTTCCAGTTTGCCATTCATCATTATTTCTTTCTCTCTGTGTGTCTCTCTCTGTATGTGTGTGTGTACGCGTGCATGTGTTCCTGTGTTCCTGTGTGCATGTGCCAGGGCCTGTGTGTGGAGTCCAGAGAACAACTAGGGGTCTCTCCACCACATAGGTCCCAGGGATTGAGGTCAGGTTGTAATGTTTACCAGTGATGCCTTTACCCACTAAGCCATCTTACTGCCTTCCTCCCGCCCGTCCCCCCACCCCTATTTTATATATTTGAAAGACAGAATTTCACTGTGTGGCCTGGGCTGGCCTTAAACTCCTGGTCCCTTGGCTGCCATTTGTTGTGTAATTTTATTTGTTATCTTTGGTCATGCAGAGTTTTTTGTTTGTGATACTTGGGCCTTAGCCTTCTAAGCAGTTGGTACCTGTTACATGTTTTAGATTTACTCTATTTTTTAAAGATTTATTTATTTATTATATATACAATGTTCTGTCTGCATGTGTACCTGTGCACCAGAAGAGGGCACCAGATCTCATTATAGATGGTTGTGAGCCACCATGTGGGTGCTGGGAATTGAACTCAGGACCTTTGGAAGAGCAGACAGTGCTCTTAACCTCTGCTCCAGCCTGATTTATTCTATTTTTATTTCTGTATATATTCTCGTGTGTGTGTGTGTGTGTGTGTGTGTGTGTGTGTGTGTGTGTGTGCTTGTGTGTATGTGTGCATGCACACATGTATACAGGTGCCTATGGAGGCCGGAAGAGGGCGTTGGATCCTCTGGAGCTGGAATTAGAGGTGGCTGTGAAATGCCAGACCACACGGGTGCTGGGAACTGAATTTGGGGCCTGTGAAAGATAAGCAATTGCTTTTAATCCCATAGCCATCTTCTCCAGGCCCTCTGTCACCTTTTAATTTTTTTCATTTCTTGCTTTGTGTGTATGTGTGTTAGGATCCCTTCTATTTATTCTCTAACAGCTTCGTACATTTATACAATGAATCTTGATTGTATCCGCCCCAGCTCTCCCTCGCAGGTCCCGGCTTGTTTGGGTTGTCTCGCTTTGCTGTGCCTAGAAATATCTTTCCTCTTCACAGGTTAGGCTTTAAATTTCTCCCCTTCATTTGTTTTAGGAATTCTATTTTATTCTGGTTTTGCTGTGAGAGAAGCCTAAGCTTGTCTATAGACTGGCCCTTAAACACTGTGCTTCCTCCATAGAGTGGTTATTAATACTATGTTTACATTTAGATTTCACTGCAATTTATCCTGGTGTAAGATAAACGTGGGAACAAACAAACAAATAACTAGTGCCAGGTGGTGGTTTAATGCCTTTCAGCCTAGCACTTGAGAGGAGTTCCAGTCCTACTTGGCCTACATAGTGAGTTCCGGACCATCTAGGCTACACAGGGAGACCCTGTCTCATTCTGTTATGGACATAAACTACCTTGACAAATGCAGCTTAAGGGAGAAAGGGCTTGTTTTGTTTCACATTTCCAGAGAGCACACAGTCCAATATGGTAGGGAAGGCGTGGGGCATGGCTTAACAAATGGTTGCATTAGCAGTCTGGATTCTGAAAGAGAGGAGGAAATGGCTGTAAAACCCCAAGGCCCACCCCTAATGACATACCTCCCACATCAAGGCTTAATTTCCTAAAGGTTCCATGATTTCTCCCCAGTGCCACAGCTGGAAACCAAGAGTTCAAACACATGAGTCTGTGGGAGATATTGTACATTCAAACTATAACACTAGGGGTGCAGGCTCAGGCTAGGGGTGCAGGCTCATGCCTGTAATCCTGGCACTCAGGAGGCTAAGGCAGGAAGATCTCAGCAAACTCCAGATCCTGCCCATGCAGTTTTTTTTTTTTAGTTTGCTTTTTCAAGACAAGATTTCTCTGTGTGACAGAGTCCTGGCTGTCCTGGACTCACGTTGTAGACCAGGTTGGCTTCGAACTCACAGAGATCCACCTTTCTCTGCCTCCCAAGTACTGGGATTATAGGCTGAGAAACCATGCCTGGCCTTTGCCTATCCAGTTGTATGTCAGTTAAGAGCAAGACAATGTCTCATGGGCCAGCAAGATGGCTGGAAGGTGGAAGTGCTCACCTTGTTAGTCAGACCACATGAATTTGAGCCTCAGAACCCACCTTGGAAAGAGATAATCAACTCCCTAATGTCCTTTGGCTTCCACACATGCGCTGTCACACTCAAACACCCACAAGCATATTCACATGCACATTAATTACAAAGAAAACAGGCCTTGTCGAAAACAAAGAGGCTTGGGTTGCAGTTTGTCAGGAGCAGGCTTCCCTAGCCTGTGAGTCCGATCACAAGTGTTCCACTCCCAGCGTCCTAAACAAAGTATGAGAAACAACCTCCCCTCACCTTCTCTTTCTCTTTGTTGTTTCTCTTTGAGTCTCACTGTAACCCAGGCTGCCCGGAAATCCAGGCCCAGGCTGGCCTCAAACCCAAGATCCCCCTGCCTCAGCCTCCCAAGTGCTGGTATTATAGGCTGGGTCTAGGCAAGGTGTTTCCAGGTTGACAAGAGCTGACAATAAGGACTCACATAGACGTGCAGTGTGAATAAGATAGTGTTATTTACACATTCTTTAGTTTTAATTATTTTTGTGTGCATTTGAGTGCAGGTGCCTGAAATAAAAATCCGACACCCTGCAGCTGGAGTTTCATTTAGCAGTTTTTACTTGCCCGAGGCAGATGGTGGGTCCTCTGGAAGGGAGCTTCAAGATAACTTGTATTTAAAGTAAAGCAATGGGTTAGGCATGGTGGGGCACGCCTGTAATCCCAGCACTCAGGAGGCAGAAGAAGGCGGATCCCTGTGAGTCTGAGGCCAGCCTGGTCTGTGTAGCAAGTTCCAGATTGGTCAGGGCTATAGAGTAAGATCCTGTCTCAAATAATAACAACATAAACAAACAAACCAAACAGGCACAGCAAGACTACGTCAAAATACACTTTGAGGGAATAGCAGGCCACATGAGCAAAGATGCTCTAGGGCCTCAATTATTTTGGGGGGCATCCTCCCAGAGAGAAAGGAATTCGGTTGCTAAGGGGCGTAGCTGAGGTGTTTTTATACTAATTGAGGGATTAGGTCCGATAATCATTTCCCTGCTGCACATGGCCCTTCTGATTTTAGTCAGAAACACGCACAAAGGCTAAGAGAGTAAAGAAGGGGTTCTCCCTGCAAGTTTGCTGTGAGGACACTGTCTGCCTTACTACCCACGCACCCCAAACCAGTTCAGGCCAGGTTAGCCTTTCTGGGCTCTTATCAGACACAGTAGGAATATTTGGCAGACAATGTCTAAGTTTGATTGTTGTTAGTGAAGGAGAAACTTTCTGTTATCCAGGAAGGGGTGTATGTGTAGACCAGGGCAGGTGGGGAGGGGTCCCGGATCTGGGCTGCACTGTTCAGAGAGGACTGTGTGGCACCTGCAGTGAAGGAACCAGTGCCAAGGCCATTATTACAAGAGGTGCGGGTATGAATGACCAAGTAAGACCCCAGAGCCTGTGTCCGTCATTCTGGTTCTCTTAAAACCATACAAAAACACTGCCTTTTAACACCAGCCTTTGTCTATTAGCTTATTATAAAACTTTTAGCCAATGGTGGCTACAGGTGGCTCACACCTGTAATCTTACCCTCAGAAGGCTGCAACAGGAGAGTTATCATGGGTTCAAGGCCAACCTGGGCTGCATGGGAAGACCCTGCCTCCAAAAGTAAAAATAGCTCAATACATTTCAGCCTCTCAGAGATAGGCCAGTGGTAAGACATTTGGTCAGAAATAAACAAATGGGAAACCAGATAAGCATTATTTTTATTATACTTTCTGCGTTTATTTGCATGCCGTTAGTGGGGGAGGGTGCCTGTGAGCATTACAGCTCGAGGTAAGGGTCTCCTGGCCGTCGGGAGCCAAAGATCACCACACAGTCACACTGCACAACAAATCGCGCACAAGAGATTTATTAGGAGGGAAAACCCAGGAGAGAGCTGCCTCTGCTAGGGTGAGAGACAGAGGGAACTGAGCAGAACACAGGGTTTATGTAGGGTTGGGGAGAGTGGCATCTTTCAGGGTGACCTGGAGTTGGAGGGATTATGTAGCCTGATCTTGGTGCAAGCTCAGGGATTTGTGGGGGTTTTTTTGTTTTGTTTTGTTTTTTGCTTTTTTGTAGGGTGGGGTTTGGCCATTCTCCCACCTTGGGGAGCCCAGCTGTTGGGCCTTTCGGTGGTGGGGGCTGGTCGTTGGAGCTCCTTGAGGGAGGCACTCTGGCCGTTTGATCGCATTTAAAGGTTTACAGGGTTTACAGAGGGAGTATCTGCCCACAGCAGGGAAAGCGTCCCTGCTGCTTGAGCTGGCAAGAAAGGCCTACAGTGTGGTGGGCTGGATGTGTGCTCTAAGGACACCTTCTATGTGTCTCTGAGGTTGAATCTGGGCTTGGCTGAAAGCGTCTTTGTGCCAATCAGCACCCCACACATTGCATATTTATTTTTATTTTTCCTGTAGTGTTCATGAAGGAACTCAGAATCTGGATTGCTTACTCAAGGAAAACACTCCACCACTGAGTATTATCTCCAGCCCTCTATTTTTGTTTTTGTTGTTTTTGTATTTGGTGGGGGAGGGGGTTGATACAGTTTCTCTGTAGCTCTGGCTGTCCTGGAACTGGCTCTGTAGACCAGGCTGGCCTTGAACTCAGAGATTCGCCTGCCTCTGTCCCCCAAGCGAGGGATTAAAGGTGTGCGCCACAATCACCAGCTTACATTTTTATTTTGAAACTGTTTCACTAAGTTGCCCAGTCTGGCCTTGAATTTAGGGTCTTCCTGCCTGGGGCCTCCTGAGTGAAATTAGCAGTGTGAATCATCACTCCCTACCTGGCTAAAATCCTCCTCTCTGGGCCTGTTTCCTTGCCAGGGCTAATGGGCCTTGTTCTGGGATGAGCAATCCGGGACCACCCAACCGTCCAGCCACTTGAAAGAATGTTCGCTAATTCATTTCTTCTGTTTTCTCTTCACACGCACAACTTTGCTTCCTGGGCAGTCCTCAATCTCCTTTGAAGGGAATGGAAAGCAATTACTGCTACGCTCCACTAAAGAATGTAAAAGAAAGGCTGTAAAGATGCATGCTCTAGCCGGTCCTGAAGATTTTGGAGGCATGACCTCAGTACCGAAGGCACGTGCCACCGCACAGTCTCTCTCCTTCGACCCACCTCTCAGTGTCCACCCGCAACTGAAAGATGCGGAACAGCCCCTGGATCTGAGCCAGATGGTGGCAATGAAAAGACCGGGATCTCGAAGGCTGCTCAAGGCACCCCTTCATGGAAATGAGTCTCCTTCCATGGTTTTTCCCGCTTCCGCAGTCACAGCTGGGTTTTCTTTCCCTTCTCCCCGCAGCTACAGTTCTGCTTTCCTGCCTCCTCTCTCCAGCATCCCTACCTCTCTTCCTCCTCTCTTTGGTAGCACCCTTCTTCCCCCTCTCCCTGGTGGCACCCATCCTCCTCCCCCTCCTCCTCCCTTTGGTGGCACCCATCTTCCTCTTTCTCTTCCTCTCCTTGGTGGCACCCCTCCTCCTCCCCCTCCTCCTCTCCTTGGTAGTAGTCTTCCTCCCCCTGGTGATACCCATCCTCTTCCCCCTCCCCTTCCCCCTGGTGGCACTGCCCATCTTTCTCCTCCTCCTGTAGGATTCAGCCCACCTAAGTCAAATCTATTAAAGCTCCGCCAAAGCTGTAAGCTTGCCGTAGGTACTACTTTCTCCACTGGCTTCTCTAGTTCAAAGGATTTCGATCCAGATAAAGTTTCCCAAGACTCCAATATCATCTTTTCTCCCAAAACCCCTGAGCTGGATTCTCTTCACAAGTCACCTTTTCGCAGTCCTCCCAAGCCACCTTCTGTCAGTCCTCTTCTTACCGGGGATCATAGCTCTGATCCCTCTTCTCTTCAGTTTCAAAGTGCCGAAGTCCCTCCGAGCCCTAATTACAGGATTTCACATCTCAGAAGGGATTCGCTTGAATCTGCTTACGGATTAGCTGCTGGTGACAGCACTCTGTCATCAGACTTCATTCTAGAAGAGGTTTTGGCTGCCTCATTGGATAGAAGTTCTTTTGAAACAGAAACAGGTAAGCAGCAGGCTATGGGGCATGCAAGTTTTTAAGAAGGGTGGAGAAACCTTGTGTAACAAGTGACATTTCCTCAGAAGATGATGCGGAAGATGTCCTCTGTGATGAAAGCCGGGAGAGCCCTGTGTCGTGGACTTCACTCTTTGCTCTACAAACCGAGGTATTTGTTTCACAGTTTACAGCAGTGCCTCTCAAAGCCGTTTGTCAGAGAAGAACTGGTTGCCAGTCTGTAGTGCCTCAGGGCGTGTGTCAGTGTGGGAGAACGGACAGCTGAGCAAAACTCTCTGCATGGTGGTGGCTGGTATTCCTCTCATTGTTAGTGACTATCAATGTTCCTCAGTTGAAAATTAGCATCCTTAAAGAGGTCTCAGACTTATTTTCCAAGTTCTAGAACTGGAAATTGAAGTTGATAGAAATTTCCTATTGCCCAGTAAACGGAGGTGTGGTGAATAGTCTAAATCTCTTCCTATAGTCCAGAGGATACAGACAGTAGTTAATGTAAGTGCTGCAGCTCTAAAGGGAAAGATACCCTGGCAGTGAGGAGCCAACATAAAATCACACTGCACAACAAACCTCACATAAGAGATTTATGAGGAGGGAAAGCCCCGGCTGCCTCTGCTAGGCTGAGAGCCTGCAGAGACCTGAGCTGGAGGCAGGCCTATATAGGATTTTGTTTTGGGGTGGGGGGTAGGATTTTTTTTCCTTACAGGGCAGGGCCTGGCCACACTGGGAATGACCTTTAGAGACCGTAAGGGCTCTGGCCGCTTTCCTGCCTTGAGGGTTTACACAGTTTACAAAGGGAGTCCACAGTAAGGAAGGCTTTCCCTGCCGCCTGAGCTGGCCTGTGGTAGTGTGGAGTAGTTGGAGGGCACGGTACCCATCTTGTAAGCTGGCCAACACCCTGCAAATCTAGCGTCTGCGCTGGCGCAGAGATCCAGCCTTCCGTGTGTAACTGGGCTGGCGGGAAGTCATTTACAAAGTGACTTAATCCAGCAGCGCCACTTTGTGTCTGGCAAAGCAGACCGTGCTTCAGCTGCCTTGCCCACACGACGGGGGTGAGAATGGGAATCGACACATGCGGTGGGGCACTCTTGAAAAGCATTTATTTGGGGTTGAGGAGTTCGCTCAGTGCTAGAGCATTTGCTAGCAAGCGCAAGGCCCTGGGTTCAGTCCTCAGCTCTGAAAAAAAAAAGCGCATTTGTTTATATTTATAAAATAACATCTTTAAAAATATAAGGTGGAAGGCTGGCAAGGTGGCTCAGTGGGCAAAGCGCTTACCAAGCAAGCCCCATGGCCTGAGCTTGATCTCTGAAACCCACATGAAAGTGTTTTTATGTGTGTGTGTCTTCCCTGCGTGAGCTTACGTGTCCCGTGTGCATGCAGCGGCCTGCAGAGGGCTCGAGGCACTGGGTCCCCTGAAACCGTATTTCCAGGTTGTTGTGAACCTGATGTGAGTGCTGGGAACTGAACCCGGGTCCTCTGTGAGAACGTTCAATGCTCTTAACCACTGGAGCCATCTCTCCAGGTTTAATTTTTTCAAAGCAGCTCTTGCAATATAGCCCAGGCTAACTTGGAATGTCCCATGTGGGCCCATTTGGCCTAGAAGTTGAAAGTCACCTGCCTCTGCCTGACAGGCCCCTGGGATTATTAGCGTCTTAATTTTTTATTTATTTTTATTTTTTAAATAGGATCTCATTGTGTATCCCACGTTGGCCTAAGACCCCCTGTGTAGCACAGCTAGGCTCAGACTTGCAGCAGCCATTTTGCTTCACCGTCCCAAGTACACGCAGCCTTGCATGATGTATTGTTTTTGTTTTAGGTACTAATATTGAATATGGGGAACTGTATACCTAGGCAAGTGTTCTGCCCCCGAGCTAGAATCCTAATCTTTTCTCGTTTCCTTTTGTGTGTGTGTTGTGTGTGTGTGTGGACCTGAGTTTGAGTGTGCAAGGATCCATGCAGATGTGAGTATATCTGTGTACATGCGCACGTGGAGGTCAGAGGTTGATGATGAGTGTCTTCCTCAATTGCTTTCCACTTTTTTATTTTTGAATTTTTATTTATAGCCAGGCATAGTGGTGCACTCAGGGAGGAGCAGAAAGGGGTAAACAGGAGCAGCCATGTTCTTTCTCCTCTCCACACTCTGTGGGCAATGGCATTTATTCTCTCTGCAGAGTCCTCAGATTTAAACTGTCTGCAGCTGGCAAAGAGCTCCTCTCAGAGCTGTCACCAAGCAAATAGTCTGCTGCTGGGGACCATCTGAATCAGCCCCACATCCCACACCTGGGACCAAAGCAAAACATGTTTACATCCACAACAGGCAGGTGGAGCTCTGGGGGAGCCAAGCCACCCAGGGCTCTGTAGAGAGTCTCCAAAAGCCATCAAAAGGGGAACAGCAACACACCCACCAAAACTTTGACCCAAGATTTACCCACAAGATGTGCAGGGATAGATAGAGAAGAGATTGAGGGAATGTTTAACTCACCAATGCCTGACCCAACCCGAAACAACCCCATGGGAGAAAGAAACCCCTGACACTCTTAAGGACACTCTGCTATGCTTGTAGATGGGAGCCTAGCATAGCTGTCCTCCGAGAGGCACCAGCCAGCAGCGGGTTGAAACAGATGCTGAGACTCACAGCCAAACATTGGACAAAGAGTCTTATGGAAAAGTGGTGGGAAGGATAAAGGATCTGGAAGTGACAGGAGCTTCACAAGAAGACCAACAGACCCAACTAACCAGGGTCCAGAGGGCCTTGTGGAGACTGAAGCACCCACCAAGGACCATGCATAGACTGAACCTAAGCCTCCTACACAGATGTAGCCGAGGGGCAGCTCAGGCTTCATATAGGTTTCCGGGTAGTGATGGGGCTGTCTCTGACATGGACTCAGTTGCCCTCTTTTTGATCACTTCCCCCTGGTGGAGCTGCCTCACTGGGCCACAGGGGAAGAGGATGAGCTCAGTCATGATTCAATTTGATGAGCTGGGGAGGGTGGGTTGGGGCCCCCTTTTTCTGAGGAATAGGGGAAGAGGGGGGAGAGGAGGGAGGGGGCTATGAACACGATGTAAATTAATTAAATATATATATATACACAAAGAAAGGGTGGAAAAGAAAGTCATTTGTTTGATGGGATGGGGGAAGGATTTATTTTTATATCTGTGTATGATGTGTGTCGGGGTGTGCCCATGGAGTCCAGAAGAGTGCGTTTGATAGGGGTACAGGTACTTGTGAACAGCCCGGAACTGAAGTCAGGGCCTCCAGAAGAGCAGGAAGTTCTCTCTCCCAGTGAGCCATCAGCCACCTCCTCCCCCCCCCAACCCGGGACTTGTTCTTTTGGTTTTTGTTTTGTTGAGACAGGGTCTCATATTAGGAGAGCAGCTTTAAGAGCATCTTCAGTAGACCAGTTTAAGGAGCCGGTGAGCTGCTCCGTGGATAAAAGTGCTTGCCACAGGAGTCTAACAACCTGAATCCAATCCCTGGAGCCCATAGTGGAAAGAGAACTGATGTCTGAAAGGTCTCCTCTGCCCTCTACACTGTATGCATGTTCACTGCATATTCCCCCACACTGCATACATGTCTCTCTCTCTCTCTCTCTCTCTCTCTCTCTCTCTCTCTCACACACACACACACACACACACACACACATACACATCAATGAAAAAATTTTTTAATTATTGTATGTACTTGTTTGGGTTTGTTTGTTTGTTTGTTTGTTTGTTTATTTATTTATTTTGAGGCTGTTTCTTCCTGTAGCCCTGGCTGTCCTGGAACTAACTCTCTCAGGCTGGCCTCGTACTCACGGAGATCCGCCTGCCACTGCCTCCTCGTGCTGTTATTAAAGACGTGCACCACCACCCTGTTTTCTTTTATGTACGTGCCTGGTGCCTGAAGGTGACAGAAACTGAGCTGTAGATGACTGTGAGCTGCCATGCGGGAGCTGGGAATTGAACTCAGGGCCTCTGGAAAAGCAGCCAGTGCTCTTGACTGCTGAGCTCTCCAGCCCAGTTTGTACAGCTCTTGAGACAAGGTCTCTCACTGTATCTCTGACTGGCCTTGAACTCACAGGGATCCACCTGCTTCTGTACCACCACACCCAGCTGTAGTCAGTAAAACTTTTAAAAAATGTAAAAGGCCAGAGGGAAAGAGTTTCACAGGTAAAAGCTACAAGAGTTTTCGCACTGAACCAATCAATATTAAGGCGGAAAGGGAGAAGTGGACACATAAAGTTGAACTCTGACCTCAAATATGCTTTGTATCCTAGTTACCGTGATGAAGCACCTTGACTCAAAACAAGTTGGGGAGGAAAGGGTTTATTCAGCTTATACTTCCACATTGCTGTTGTCACTGCAGGAAGTTGGGACAGTAACTCCAACAGGGCAGGAACCTGGAGAAAGGAGGCTGATTCAAAGGCCACTGTGGGGTGCTGCTGCTTACTGGCTTGCTCTCCATGGCTTGCTCAGCCTGCTTTCTACCATACCATACCAGCCCAGGGATGGTGGTCCCCGCAATGGGCTGGGCCCTTCCCCGTGAATACAGCCGTGCCTACAGCTGGATCTGTGGAGGCAGTTTCTCAGTTGAGCTTCCCTCCTCTCGGGTAACTCTAGCTTGTGTCAAGTTGACATAAACTAGCCAGCACATGGTGGCACACATGTGTCTTCCCCCGCATCACACACACGCACACACTTCTATGTTTATAAAGAAGCTGTCCATTTCAAACTAAATAAGAATATACATTTTTTCCTCCTTTGTAAATGGTATATTTTAAATACTGAAAAAGGAATCATGCTAGGGAAATATTGTATGGGATAGGACCTATGATTAACAATATAATTTTTTCTTAATTTGACAGGATGGTTTTTGGAAACTGACACCAGAACTAGGACTTATACTAAAACTTAATGTAAATGTTCTACACAATTTTCTTGAGGAAAAGGGCATTCGATCTCTAGGTAAGTCACTGTTTTTCAATTAATTTGAGTCACATATTCCATCATTTTTCCAGTCATTTCTAGGCAAACTCGCCATTGTAATAAATTATATTGTTTTTTAAAAAGATTTATTTATTATGTACACAATGTTTTGCCTGCATGTACGCCTGCACACCAGAAGAGGGCACCAGATCTCATAATAGGTGGTTGTGAGCCACCATATGGTTGCTGAGAATTCAACTCAGGACCTTTGGAAGGACAGCTAGTACTCTTAACCTTTGAACAATTTCTCTAGCCCCAATAAATTATATTGTTAATTAGTGCATTCATTTAATAGTTTTGGAAGCTACATGTGAATAAAATTAGATTTTTTTTTACAGGGTCTCACTATGTAGCCCTGGCTAGCCTTCAGTCTTTCTACTCTCTCTGTAGCCCAGGCTGGCTTTGAACTCACAGAGATCTGCCTGCCTCTGCCTCCCAGGTGCTGGGATCACAGGCGCCAAAGGCATGTCCCACCACATCAGCCACCACAATTAGGTTTATTAACAATCAAAGGAAACTCATAGCTGACCTATGAGGACAGTATTATTTAGGCAATTTTATTAGTCTACACAGCACCACCAACAGCAGCATAACAGCCCAAATCTGAGAAGAGTGACATACACCTGAAATCCTGCATTCGGTAGGCTAGGACAGGTGAACCACGAGTCTGAGGCAAGTCTGGGCTACGGAGCCAGATCCTGCCAGTAATAATATCCAGAAGCTCAATTTAACATGCTCAGTAAGTACTTTCTTGGCCACAGCATATGTACCTAATGGCCAACAAGGGCATTCTGCTCCACATAGTAATTACCTTGAGACCTTGGCATTTTTTGCAATGTAACTCTTCCATGCTTTGTCTCACTCCCTCAAGAAACAACAGGGGCTGAAGGGATGGTTCTGGGTTAGGAGCACGAGGTAGTCTTGCTGAGGACACCGGTTCAGTTCCCAGCACCCATGTCCCCATGTTGAGTGGCTGGCAAGCACCCGTAACTCCAGTTCTTTTTTTTTTTTTTTTTTTTTTTTCTGAGATAGGGTTTCTCTGTAGCCTTGGCTGTCCTGGACTTACTTTGTAGATCAGGCTGGCCTCAAACTTGCAGCAATCTACCTGCTTCTGGTGCTGGGATTACAGGCAAGCGCCACCGTGCCCAGCTCCAGTTCTTTATCTTAGTTTTAGTCATGTTTTGAGATAAGGTTTCTCTGTGTAGTCCTAGTTACCCTGGAACTCACTCTATAGACCAGGATAGCCTCAAACTAACAGAGATCCTCCTGAGTACTAGGATTAAATGTGTGTGCCACCACTCCTGGCTTTAAGTCCAGTTCTAAGGGACCCAACAACCTCTTCTGGCCTATGAGGCCTATACTCAACATGCACAAACCCATGTGGGGTGTGTGTGGTGTGTGTGTGTGTGTGTGTGTGTGTGTGTTCATGATTTAAATAAACAAACATTTTTAAAAGGAAGAAAACAAAAACAAATATCCCTGAGGATCAGTGCAGGCCAAACCCTCATATACTATTGGTGAGTCACTGTGGAAATCAATATGATAATTCCTCAAAAAAACTAAAAATAGAATTAGTATATAATTCAGCTATACCACTTCTGGGCATATGTCTGAGGGATGCTAAGTTGGGATATTACAGAGATCCTTTCCTGTCCATGTTTATTGTGGCACAGTTCATAATATCCAAGATATGAAACTAATCTAGATGACCATCAACATAGGAATAGAGAAAATTCAGTCGGACATTAAAGCGCATGCCTTTAATCCCAGTGCATGGGAGGCAGAGGCAGGTAAATCTCTGAGTTGAGGCCAGCCTGGTCTACAGAGGAGTTCCAGGATAGCATGATGGCTCATGCCTGTATCCCAGCAGTTGGGGAAATCAAGGCAGGAAGATTGCCATGAGTTTGAGAAAGCCTGAGCTACAGAGCAAGACCCTATTAGCGGGTGAAGAGTCGGCCGGCAGTTAAAAACACTTGCTGCCCTTGCAGAGGATCTGAGGTTTTTTACCAGCACCCACAGAGCATCTCACAACTGTATGTAATCTAGTCCCAGGGGACTCAATGACCTCTACTGGCCTCCAAAACACTTCACACATGTAATACACATATACACTTGCACACACTCAAACTTGCAAAACACTCATACACACACAAACAAAATAAGCAAATCTTTAAAAACAAAAAAAGACAGCTACAAAGTATCGTTGATGTGGAGGTTCAATATGCTATGCCGTCTGCCAACCCTGGTTACAGCCACCAAGACTGCACAACGAGAGTAGTTCTCCTCAGTTTTCCTTTTTTATTGTTTTTGTTTTGTTTTCCTCACTGGTTCTTGCAGCTGCCCAGCAAACCCAGCACAGTAATGTGTTGAGTTTCACAGACAAATCCTCGCTCCAGGGATGTGTCTGCCTCTTTGACATGAGGTAACCCAAGTACATCCTCTACACAAGCCACTTTTGTTCTAGGCTGGAAATACTCTGCTCTTTCTGACCCAGGCTGGGAAAACCCAACTGGTCTTGCCTCCTGGTCATTAAATCCTAATGAATTTCGGTCTCTCCAGTCTTGGATCTGTCTGCCTGTCTTTGGTTTCATGGTATCTTGAGGCCAGTCTTCATACTCTAGACTGCAATGTTGTGGATTAACTGAGTTACGTGTGCATGCATGTGTGTGTGCGGTGTATATTAAAGCAGACTTGGGGTTTTATCAAAGACTGTAAATATTCCTTTTCAAGACAGTCTCATTAGATGGCCCAGGCTTAGTCAGATCTTCTGCTAAACCTCCTACACGCAGGAATGCAGATGTGCGCCACCACAGCTGACCAAATCTAGCTTTGTTTTCGTCTGCTTTGTTTCGGGTACTGGAGCTCAGGCCCTCATGTAGGGCAGCCGAGTGTTGCGCCACTACAGTTGTAGTCCCAGCCCCCAGTGAGCATCCTCTTTGTTTGTTTTCCAAGACAGGGTTTTTCTGTGTAGCCCTGGCTATCCTGGAACTCGCTCTATAAAAGAGGCTGCCCTTGAACTCACAGAGATCCGCCTGCCTCTGCCTCCCAAGTGCTGGGATTAAAGGCGTGCGCTACCACCACCCAGCAAAATGAGTATTCTGAGAATGACTTTCAAAAATAACATCCAGGCTAGCAAGATGGCTCGGGGGCTAAAGGTACTTGATGTTCAAGCCTGGCACCCTCCCTGGAGCTCGTGTAAAGATGGAAAGAGAGAACTGACTTTACAAAACTTGACTTCTCCCCTCCACATGCACAGGGCGGCATAATGTGCCCCTCCCCATAGAGTGTCCATATGCAATTAAAAAAAAAAGAGTGAACAGGGCTGGAGAGGTGAGTCACTGGTTAAGAGTACCGAGAGTACTTGCTGCTCTTGCAGAGAACCCGAGTCCAGTTCCCAGAATCAACACGGTGCTCACACACCCCTGCAGGTGACCCCTGCCAGTGTCTAGCACCTACCATCCAACCCTAGCTTCAAAATATCTTGGTTTGGATCTATCTGCTGCTGACAGCCAGAATGAGTCTGACACATTGACAGAGTCATGTTTATCTGTTGTGTGTTTAGGTTTCTTCCAAGACACTTACAGCAAGAACCGAGGAACTAAAGCTCCTTACACCCCGGGCCTCTCTGGTTATTGTAGACAGCAGGTGGTGGAGTGAGAGATTCTGAGGGGAGCTCAGTGTCCAAAGAGACATCAGAATAATGTGACAGGCACACCTGCTCTAATTGTTCACAGTTTCTATTGAAATTAAAGGCTAATTAAGGACCTTTACAATATCTGCAGTTGGTTTTGTTGGCCTGCACAATGTATTGTCTCATAATTGTAGAGTTTTATGATCTATTAACGTATTACATTTCAATTGTACTATAATTCTGTTGGTTGTGTGCTTGTTTTTGTTTTCAGACAGGGTCTGGCTTTGGAGCCCAGGCTGCTCTAGAATGCACTATGTTGCTCAAACTGGCCTCGAACTCATGCAATCCTCCCGCCTTAGCCTCCCAGGTGCTGGGATTATAGTCATGAGAAACCATACCTGGCTTAAAAGAAGTGCAATTCTTCAGTAGAACTTTAATACATGGGCAATCTGAGGCACAGAGGGTACTAATTAATTACTTTTTGTTGTTGTTGTTGTTGCTGTGCTTAAAATACCAGAAGCAACTCTAGGAAGAAGGTTTATTTTGGTTTGTGGCTCCAGAGTGTCAGGATGGTCAGGTGTTACGTTGGTAGGGATGGCACTGCAGCCGGTGTCCCGAGCAGGTCGAGGGCGGCTCACGTCATATCGTGCCAGGAAATAGAAGGAAGCTATAAACCCTCAAATCCCACCCCTAGTGAACACTCCTTCCCTGTCCTGAACCACCCGAACCTCCCAAACAGCGGCACCATGTGGGGGCCCAGCATTCAAATAGATGAAGGAACCCCGGGGGACAGTTCTCCAAACCACATAAAGGACATCTTTGTTCTTTTAGGTACAAAAGGAAAAGAACTTCTCCTAGACCTGATTGCCACTCTGCTGGTACTACAGTTTCTTCACACCAAGTTGGAACAAGAAGGAATGGTTGCCAAATCGCTGATAAAGATGGATGACGCCTTCATTTCCAGGTGCTTTAAAGTCCTAAGCAGAAACTTTTTAGAAATCTGGTTGGTTTTCCTCTTAGATTTTGTGGGTTTGGGCCCAGCACCCACAAGCTGGTTTAGAAGTTGCTATGTCAATGATTCCGACCCTATTTTTGCAGTAGTCCTCATGCTTCTGCCTCCCAAATGCTGGGGTTACAGGCTGTGCCACCATGTCTAGCTTGTACATGCTAATCTTGAGAGAGAATTTGTTCACAGGTTACAACTTGCCCAAAAGCTCTTTACGTAGGATGACTGACATGAGTTTTTACCTCCGACTCACTGGAGGGAGTCTCATTGCACATGCACATGAAGCTAGAGCACCGCCTTTTGAGCTCCTGGTTTGGCATTCCACACTAGAGTATGTTGCTCATCTCTGCTTTCAGAAGAGCCACAGTATGATTGTTGGCTTGTTCCAAAGACTACAAATGGGAGCCCCATGTCCTGTGTCTAAGTAGTTAAAGTAATGAAGCAAAGCTGAGACTGTACCACAGTGAGAGAGCATTTGCCTGGTGTGCACTGGGACCTGGACTCAGTTTTGCACTCCAGAGCCAAACACACACACACACAGTCACACATGCTGTAAACCAAAGCATTAACCAGGTCATGGAGGCTACATTCCTGTAATCCCACCACTGACGATGGAAAAATTAAGATGGAAATCTTAAAGGCCAGCCTAGGCTACACAGTAGGACTCTGTCCCAAAACAAACAACAAGGGGAGAAAACTATTACACTATTAAATAAAATCCATTAGAATATTCTGCCTGGCATAGTGATGCATGCCTTTAATTTCAGCACTCAGGAGGCAGAGGCAGGTAAATCCCTGAGTTCAAAGCCAGCCATGATTTCAAAGCAAATTTCTGACTATTGTCATATTCTTCTACACTACTTTATTTGGGTTCTTATATCTCCCTTCCTTCTCCACTCCAGTCCCTTCCAACACTCCAACAGCAGATTGGAGACAGGCGATTAGTGGGGGGAGGGGACGTTGATATTTTTAGACTACTTCCTGATAATTAGGGCCTTAAGTTCCTTGGGACAAGTCCAATGTTCATCTTGTCAGGATATCTCCAACTTCTTGTCTCTTTTCTCTTGACAAACCAGTAACAGCAGAACCACGAACCAGCAGAAGGAACAGTAGTGCGCCCTCTCTCTGCGCTCTGGTCTTTTTATATCTTCTCTAAAGTCCCCCAGAATTAAACTATCTTCTGCTGGCAGAATCACACCCCTGCCAGGGCATGCACGAGGCAAGTAGTCCACTGTGGACAATCTGAAGCAGCACACCTGGGATTAAAACAAAAGCATGTTTACATGTTTTATAAAGACACGAAAATTCTCAGTACACCTGACAGCCAGACCTACTTGATAGAGAGACTCTGACTGTCATAGGGTTTCTTCTGCTATGAAGAGACACCATGACTCTTGTACAGGAAACTATTTAACTGGGGCTTGCTTACAGTTTCAGAGGTTTAGTCCATTACCGCGGTGTGAAGCATGGCTGCATGCAGACAGACATGGTGTTGGAGAAGAGCTGAGAGCTCTCCATTCGGATTGGCAGGCAGAAGAGGAGACTGTGTGCCTCACTGGGCAGACCTTGCGCATAGGAGACCACAAAGCCCACCTCCATAGTGACACACTCCCTCCAGTAAAGCCACACCTACTCCAGTAAGAACACACCTTTGAATGGTGGCGGTCCCTATGGCCAAGAATTGACACAGGAGTCTAGGGGACCATTCCTATTCAGACTATCACACTGTCTCAACAAACAAAACAAAGAATATTTTTATTGTATTGACAGATACAATCCCATAACCAAGGGAGAAGCATATTCAAATTTAGCTTTGGTTGACTCCTGAGAAAAAGCTATACAATATCTTATAGATATGAACACAGCTCCTCACCACCACACCACACATGATGGCCCTTTCTCCAAAGGAAAAAATGGAAAAGACCTAAAATCTCTTAAGTTTGCCCCAATGGAACCCTTAGGTTTCTTTTGCATTCATTTTGTGTGTGTGTTTAGGAGTGTGTAACGTACCATGCATGTGGAAGTCGGAAGACAGCTTTGGGGGGTTGGTTTTCTCCCATACTGTGGGTCCTGGGCATTCAACTCAGGTCATTAGGCTTGTTCATAAGCCCCTTTACCTGCTGAGCCATCTCACTAGCTCCATGAAATTTGTTTGTTTGTTTTTGTTTTGTTTTTTTTTTCAAGACAGGGTCTCACTTTGTAGCTCTGGCTGTCTGGAATTCACTCTGTAGACCAGACTGACCTTAAACTCACATAGATCCACCTGTTTTTAAGGAGTAATTATCCCAAATTGGCCTTAAACTATGTAGCTGAGGATGACTTTGAACTTCTTGTTTCTACCAACTTATCCACACCCCAATATAACTTTTCTTAAGAGCTTCATTAATAGGTAGGTGAAATGGCTCAGTACTTGCTTTGTAAGCCTGATAACCTGAGTTCAATTCTATGTGGTAGAAGGACAAGAACTGATTCCCAAAAGTTGTCCATACTCAAGCCATGGCCATGTGTGCACTCTCATTTATATTGCATTGATCTCACTCTCTCTCACACACACGCGCACATACACACACACACCACCGGCCCTGTGGCCAGCAAGGCAAAATCTGAGGATTGAAGGGTAAGACCTGAGTAGGGCCTTTTGAGTAATGTAAACAAGACAAGAAGTAGTGGCTTCTGCCTTTATTTAATGCCAGCACTGGGGCAAGTGGATCTCTGAAATTTGAGACCAGCCTGATCTACAGAGTTCAGAGACAGCCAGGGTTACACAGAGAAACCGTTTTCAAAACAAAGCAATAGAGTCGTGCAAACAAAGCCCTTTTCGTTTTTATTATTAAAGCAAACAAAACATGAGGTAATGTTTACAATTGGCTTAAACATATACAAGTACACCAGGGAATGCACCTGGTGTTATGCCTTATCATCTTTGATCATGTAAGAAGAGCCAAGAATTTTCCTCCCTGGCCTTTTCCTTTTCCCAGAGAAAATGTGGCAACACCAGGGCATCTACTTCATGTCCTCTCAAGTACGGTCACTTGTCAGTTTATGCACCTCTTTGTAGAAGGCAACGGTCTTGGTTAGGGTTACTACTGCTGCTATAAAACACCAAGACCAAAGGTACTTGGGGAGGAAAGAATTTCTTTTGCTTATACCTCCAAATCACAGTTCATCATCAGAAGTCAGGGCAGGAATTTAAGCAGGGCAGGAACCTGAAGGCAGGAACTGACGCAGAGGCCATGGAAGGGTTCTGCCTTCTGGCTTGTTCCTCATAGCTTGCTCAATCTGCTCTCTTATAGACCCCAGGACCAACAGGCCAGGGATTAACCACCCACCATGGGCTGGGCCCTCCCCATCAATCATTCAATTTTAAAAAGGCCTACAAACTTGCCTACAACCTGATCTTTTTTATTATTTATCTTTATTTTATATGCATTGGTATTTGCCTACATGTATGCTGTGTGAAAGTATAAGATCTTGGAATTAGAGACGGTTGTGAGCTGCCAGGAACTGAACCTGGGTCCTCTGGAAGAACAGTCAATGTCTTAATCCCTGCACCATCTTGCTAGCCCCCACCTACAGCCTGATCTTATGGAGGCATCTTAATGGAGGTTCCCTTCTCTCAGATGACTTTAGCTTGTGTCAAAGTTGATGTGAAACTATTCAGCACAGCCACCTTATGGGAAAAACATTCTGCACTCTGCCCAGTCCATAGTTCACAGCTTTCTCACACAGGCCACACACACACACACACACATACATCAAATTACATTTTAAAACTTTGGCGTAAGGGCCAGGGATGTAGCTCTTTACAACTGACCCTCAGGTGTTCAAGTATCTAGACGTTGAAAACCCCCAGACAGTGAATGGACTTTGAAACGGGTCTCAGGGACAACACAACAGGAAACAAATAAAAAGAGGCAAGAAAAAGCTGCAGCTCCCCTGAGGGAGCAAGTGGGGACTGCGTACACAGTGGGAGCTGGGGCGTGAGGCAGGTAAGAAGTGTAGGCATGTACTGAGTGAGTTCAAAACCCCGTGACAGCTGAGGAGAACTTTATTCAGATTCCAAGAACTGCTTTTATTAAAATCCTCGTTTTTGACAGAATTGTTTCATCCAATACAGTGTTATAGATTTGGTACCACCTTGCCTTTTCACATAGTCTGAACCAATGGAAACCTTTTTTTTAATCTAGGAATATTCCATGGGCTTTTGAGAACATAAAGAAAGCAAGTGAATGGGCCAGAAGAACAGAAGGGCAATATCCGTCTATCTGCCAACGGCTTGAGCTGGGTAAAGACTGGGAGTCAGCCACAAAGCAACTACTGGGAATCCAGCCCCAAGCCAACACTTCTCTTCACAGAATTCTACACTACAATCAAGGCTGACTCCACTGAAATTGCTTTTTTTTTTTTTTTTAAACCTTTCTTAATTTCTTTTGGTGGTGGTGGTGTTCGGTTTTTTTCAAGACAGGGTTTCTCTGTGTAGCATGGCTGTCCTGGAACTCAGAGATCCACCTCCCAAGTGAATCAGAGGCGTGCATCAGCACCGCCCCACTGCCATTCTCATGTATCTATGTAGAAAATAATCAAATAGTAAAAGGTACCAACAAAGACACGTAATTAGTTTGAGTTTTTTGTTTGTTTGTTTTAGCATAGCTATCAGCACCTTTAAAAATAAATAGAAGCAGGATTCATTAGTCACTTAGTAACAAAAGCTGTGAAAAACAGTAATGCTAGAGACTGTTTCAGATTCTGGGAGGTGTTCTTCCCCCAGAGGCCCTTCTGAGCAGGACAGGAAGGAGTTGGTCTGGCTAGTGGCTGTGTTCGGGGCCACTGCTGTGTCTGGGGCCCTGGTCCCGGGACAGTGTGACTCGGTGCGTAAGCCTCCTCTAGGGCTCTTCTGTCTGCGGGCGCACCTGTTGGCGAGTTACTCTTCTAATTAACACAGTGAGTTACTAAGGCAGTTTTCTTTACCCTGATAGTTCACTAGGGACTGACACACAGAAGACTGAGTTATTTTTAAGCTGTAAACACTGTGCTGAGCAGATTCTGAAGTACTCTAATCCTAGCACCTTTAAACCCACATAAAAACCAATCACTTGCCAATCTGATGACTCCCGGGTGGCTTCTGCCCATCAGTCTATTCCTATAGCCATGTGCCCACAGCTTCTCTGTGTCTCCTGGCGAAAACGCCTCCCTCTCGGAGTCCCCAGAGTTCCTCTCTCCCTGCCAGGAAGTCCCGCCTTCCACTTCCTGTCCTGCCCAACTGGTTGGCCAATCCGCTCTTTTTGACAACTGCTACATCCACACAAGACATGCTTGCTAATTGGTGTTGCAAGCTGTTTTTCCACCTATCGAGTTTTGTTGTCACATTCTAAAACTCAACAAACCAAAGGTCAACTGAGTTTTTTGCTATTTCACCTTCTGGACATTTTCTAGGTTTTGAATTTTACATTTAGGATTATCCACACTGAGTTACCTTTTTTATTGTTACACTTGGTTTGACTATGAAAGGGCCTTCCTAGGCTCATACGTCGGGAGCTCGGTTGTCAACAGATAAGCCTTCAGGAAGTGATTGTCTTCCTGGGGCTCCGACCTAATCACTGGATTAATCTCTTGAAAAGAGTTTCTCTTGTGATGCTCTTGTTGGAAAATGTCGGAAAGCAGGAGGTGGGACTTGGTCGATGGAGGTGTACCTTTGAAGGCTCTCACTCTCGCTTTTACTCTCTGCTTCCTGTCTGTCATGAGGTAAAGCTGCTTTCCTCTGCCACATTCTGCCATGTTTTGTCTCACTACTGACCTAGAATCAGCAGAGCCAACTGACCATGACCTGAAATATATGTGGCTTTCCTACCTCACACAGAGTAAGGAGGGAAGAATTTCCCAAGGCATAGTGTTTCCGAGCTTTGACTTTGGAAATATTTTACATTGTAATGAACAGATTTTTAAATCAAATACAAAGTAAACCATGGCTTAAATTGGAAAACCAGATGGAACAAATCTGTATGAAGTTGATGGCTGAAACACACCACATAGGAATCATTTAAAGTAGCTTGAAACATATCTTTTTCTAGTTGGAAAGGACCTAGACCTAAAAGGTAAAGAAATTACAAAGGAGAAATTGCTATTAAGTAATTGAAATTTTCTTAAACAATGGGCCAAAATTAAAACCTTTTTTTAAAAAAATATTTATTTACTTATGTGTATATGAGTGTTTTTGATGGTTGTGAGACGCCATGTGGTTCTTAGGAAGAGCAGCCATTTCTCCAGTCCTTTTTGTTGCTGTTTTTGGTTTTCGGTGTAGCCTTAGCAGTCTGAAACTCACTTTGTAATCCACCTTCCTTTGTCTCCTGAGTGCTGGGATTAAAGGTGTGTGCCATCACTGGCTGGCCCAACCTTAAAAAAAAAAAAAGTTTCTCTACGGTATTAGTCAGTAGAACTACTTCAGGCCATTCCTGTAGCCCTTTGTGTAAACACTTTATTCAGATTTCTTGTTTTCTTCAATATTCACCTAGAACCCAGCACTTCCTCTCATTTATGCGGGTCAGGATTTCTGTTCACGCGGCAACTCTTGCCTTTTTTTTTTGGGGGGGGGGGGAGCTTTCAAAACAGGGTTTCTCTGTGTGGCCTTGGGTTAAAGGCATGCGCCACTGCATCTGGTTTATGGTCTCTTTTTTCAGTGATTTCTACTGGACCAGCCTGCCATGGCAGAATGGGCCTCCAGTTTCCTGGGAATCTAAAAGGAACAAACCACCACGAACAATTATGCAGAGGAAAACTGACTTGCAGCAAAGAAAGAAGTGAGAAACACCTTCAAAGTCAGGAGTCCGCAAGCTAGGCGAGCTGTTATTTAGATATATATTCAGGAATGTAGAGGGAAAACATTAGTAGAGTCGTATTTTAGGATTAGGCAAAGGTTACATGGCGGGTTCACAGATCACGCCACAACACCGGTTCCACGTGGGAGGTTTATTAAGGGAAGGGGGAAGGGAACGGAAAGGAGGAAGGGGCGGGAGAAGAGGTCACAAACACTATCTCTAGCCAGGGCAGGAGAGAAAAACAGAGAGGAGGAACTTCGAGTTCTCTTATAAGGGGACCCAGAGCATGCGCAGGTGGTTCCAGGTGGTCCGTAGGTGGCTTCACAGATGCCTGATATCCGGTTTGTCAGGTCCCTTGGGGCTGGCCGTAGAGATGCCTGCTTACAGATCCCAACATCTACGATAAACATTAGAACGAAGTAGTTGTTTTTAGAAGTACTCAGACATTGAAGAAATCATTGTAGAAAACAGTGATTGTTTTCTGTGATTTATAGAGTTGTTTTTCTGAGGAGGCTTTACATCCTTTGCCTGACTTTAGTCACAAGTCCATCCTGACAAACTGGGAACATCTTGCTTTATTGAGTAGGGTAAACAGTGCACAATAAAGACTGAAATTGCAAGAGTGAGGTGCTCCTCCAGGAAACACGTAGATCGGATCTGGGTTTTGGTGTGAGGAATTTGTTTTACTCTAAAGACAACTTTGTGTGATAGTCAATAAATAGCCTTCTGCACGGCTGTTTGAAGTTCGGTCCATCAGAAGCTGGACCACTGTGCTGCCTGCATATTTCATCCCGGAGTGACTTTTTTCTTTCTTTTCATCCAGCATATGTCAGATACCAACACAGAAGGTTGAGCCATCAGCACTTAAATGCAATAGGTACATACTGTGGAAGTGAGGCTTGGGTTCTTCCCTGGCTCAAAATTTGGATATGGAAGAATAGAAGATTTGTAAAGGCCAGTAAGGCTCACTGAGTAAAGACACTTACCATGAAAGCCTGGAGACTTGAGTTCATCTCCAGGAATGAAGGAAGTGACTCCACAAAATTGTCTTTGGCCTCACGCATACGGTGGACATACCCACAATAATATTAAATAATAATATGATGAAATTCATCTGTAGTGCTCATACATATTTCATTAGGGTGTTTTCAAGACAAAGTGTAACCCTGGCTGTCCTGGAACTCTGTAGACCAGGCTGGCCTTGAACTCATAGAGATCTGCCTGCCTCTGCCTCACCAGATGCTGGGATTACAGGCCCCACCAAGCCCAGGTTCTTGGAATAATTTAAACAGGGACAGGAGACTGACAGTCTGGTCACTCAGGCAGGTGTGCGATTAACACAGCAAGGATCTTTTCAGGATTATTTCTAAGTATATACACCAGTGTGGTTGTTGTCAAATAGTTGTTACACAGGGTTATCTTGCCCACCAGGCAGAATTGTTTGTACTGACAGGAGATTTAAAGGCAGGCTAGGACTTAATGATAGTTGTGGCTTGGGGCTCAGCCATTGAGCTGCCCTTCAGAAGCATTTTTTTGTTTTGTTTTAATAAGGGGATAGGCTCAACAGCCAGTTTTAAGTTAGGGTTATCTCCTTTTGTTGTAGGAATGGAATCTAATTGGAGGTCCCTCTTAGTGCACAAATATTATCAGAAACTTTCTCAGCAACCCAAAACTTCACATTTTCAATTTTGGCACAAAATTTTCTTTCCCAGAGTGTCTAAAAAAAACCTGGTTATACTACTTATCTTTCAGTTATGGAAGGCAAGTTTATTAGTCAATTCTTTGTGGCATCAATATAATTCGAGTTTCTCTTGCATCAATCCCACCCTGCCTCTGATATTATTCAGAAAAAGCAAGAGGACGTATAGGGTCTTGGCTGGCTTATCAGGTGTGAATGATGCAGTTAATTAAATAGAGCCCATACAAAGCCAGGCCAGACAACCCCAGCTCTGTCTTCGGAAGAGAGAACCAATGCTGACTCTGGTACTGGGACCAAGCCTCCAACCTTCACCTGCCAAGCAAACGCTCTGTCACTGAATTGCATTGAAAGCCCAACAAAAGGTTTAAGTCTGATAAATTATTTATTTGACACAATGTCTTGCTGTGTGGCTTGACCTTGAATTTTTAAAAATCCTCCAGTTTCAGCCTCATCAGTGCCAGAATTACAGGCCTGAGTTATTGGATAGGCCGTCCTCTAGAGTGTGTGCATTCCCGTGCCGCAGCATGCATGTGGAAGACGGAAGGCAACTTGGGGGAAATTCTCTTGCTCACTAAGTGGGTCTCTATGGAAATCATACTTGGCGACCAGTGAGTGCTTCAATCTGCTGAGCATCTCCCGGGACCCATTCTTTATCTTCAAACGCTACTCATTAAAATGAAACATCACTATAGGCTATATTTAGTTGATTCAATCACTGACACCCCATTAAGCCAGCCAAATCCATACGAAAGAACTCCTCTGGGCAGGCATTCCGCCCAGGCGGAGTGGGCTTTTTCCCAGGAGCCTCAGGGAAGCCTCAAGGTCTCCTCCTTCGGAAGCCACGGCTCGGGCTAGCCAAGCAGCAAGTCTCCTCAGGAGGCGGACTCCCGGGCATCCTGAAGGTTACGCGCTAGGACCGCCCCTCGCATTGTCCCCAAGGAACCCCTTCTACTTTTCCCCGAGGCAGCGTTCTTCCTTATGGGGCCCTTCGGCCCGCCCATCCACTTCCTGTGGCCTCCTCAGGGCCTGGGGCGCGCGCCTTGGGCTGATTGGTTGGTACGTGTGCCAATCCAGGGCTCGAAGCCCACGATTGGCTGGCTTTCCTCACCATGGAGTCACGCCGCTGAAGCGGATTAGGGCGGAGGGGCCTGCGCGCGGAGCTGTCTTGCCGTGCAGCGGGGTTGGCTTTTCGCGTCGGTTTGCAGGCGGTCTGTGATGGCGGCCGTCGGTGAGCAGAGCCTGAGTGCGGCGGCGCAGGTTATGTCCGTTCCCGACAGCACTGCCGGTTCTCCCGAGGCCGAGCGAGGAGTGGGAGCAGATGGCGAAGAGAAGGACGCCGCCACTAAAGGGCCGGAGGCCGTTGGGGACAGCGAGGAGGATGCGGAGGATGTGTTCGAGGTGGAGAAGATCCTGGACATGATGTGCGAGGGAGTATGTGGGGGATGCGCGGCCGGAGGGCGGGCACGGTGGGGAGAATCCCGGTGGAACGCCGAGCAGCCCGGGAGGACGGGGCCGGTCCGTGAGCACCTGACGGACGCGTGGGGCGAGCGCAGAGTGACATCTCGAGAAGGTCCGTGGCCGCGTTTGTGGAGGATGGAGGCTTAGGGAAGTTTTAGGCGTCGTTTCGGTAGAAAAGACGAAGCCGGGGCATGTAATGTTGAGTCGTAGGATGCCAGGCTGTTGGTGGCCTTCAGCCTTCGGGGTACGGTTAGGTCTATAGCTCTCCGTTAGCCAGGACTGGTGGGAACCCTACGAGTCGTCAGAGTCCATCACACCGTTGTCCCAGTGTTTTCCAAGAGTAGAAAATGCTCCATGGGTTAAATTCAGGAATTCCCATTCGTTCTCACAGTCAAACCCCAATCACACCAAGTGGTTGGGATGGTAAAGTTCCCGAAACCCAAATGTCATCCTTTCCTCCTCTGCGCGTTTTATGCTTGTGACTCACAGATTTAGAGTAAGCTTGAAAGGAGAATCTTAGCACGTCACGCTTGGGCACTTAGCGTCCTCCTTGCTGCGACTGTTGTCCCTGGAAGAAATTATACTCTGTTCTTCCAGGTCTTGGGGTCCATCCGTTTGTAATGCCTCCCCCGACCTTTTTGCAGAGCCCTCTAGAACGAGGTGCTTTCGCGTTTTTGTCTTCATGCCCTTTGGAGACCTCTGTTTAAATCGCTATTTTTAGTGCATACATTGCTTTATAATCAGAAAAAGACATCAGTCATGGTTCTGTTTTGTTTTGTTTTGTTTTGTTTGGTGGGGAGGTTGGGTTTTTGAGATAGGGTTTCTCTGTGTAGCCCTAGCCACTCTGTAGACCATGCCAGCCTCAAATTTAGAAATCCACCCTGCTTTCCCCCAAGTGCTGGGATTAAAGGTTTGGGTCACTGCTGCCTGGCAAGTCAGCAGTTTGTTCTCCCCCCCCTCCCCCCAGGGTTTCTCTGTGTAGCCTCAGCTGTCCTGGAACTCTGTAGACCAGGCTGCCTTGAACTCCAAAGATCCACCTGCCTCTGCTGGGATTAAGGCTCCGTAAATCTTAAAAAGCTGATGGCACCCTCTTCTGCCATAGATACTGGACTCAAGATGAATATGCACACTTTCAATTGATGTTAATTTTCATTTTGATGCAGTTTCCAAGTTCTCTTATTCTCAGCAGCTGAATGGTTTTGAAATTTTAATCAGTAATATGTCTGTTTTTCATTTATGCTACAGGGTAAGACCCTTTATAAAGTTCGGTGGAAAGGATATACATCTGATGATGATACCTGGGAGCCTGAGGTTCATCTGGAGGACTGTAAAGAAGTTCTTCTTGAATTTAGGAATAAACTTGCCGAGAACAAAGCCAAAGCTGTCAAGAAAGATATCCAGGTATCAAGTTTTATCTCATACTTTTTTTGTTTGATAGTCATAAATTTAGTCATACAAAGTTTGTATAGTAAACAATTGATGAAAAATACAGTGTCTGGTATTTCCTGTGTGGATTCCATGTTGCTGGTTTGTCCTCACAGAAGACTGCTTCTGCTGATTTTATTTTGCTACACTCTTCTTTTCCAGCCTTTGATTCTGTTTGACAAACAAATGTGTTCTCTATGTTGCTAGTAACCTTACAGTGTAGTGAAATATCTAACATAATTTAAAAATAAGGTTTGTTTTGCTTATAGTTCTAGAGGTGTTAGTCTACCTATGTGGATGTCTCTGATGGGGAGCACTAGGGAACTCTTAAGTTTCTTGTTTTCATAAGCCAGGAAGCAGAAGAAACCAGGGTCCCCCAATCCTCTTTGAGGTCATGTCACAAATGGAACTAAGAATCCTTAGGCTTCACCTCCCTAAGATTCCACCACCTTCTATTATTGCCTCCCAACACAAGAACCTTTGGAGGACATTCACCATTCAAATTATAGCAGACATGAATATTGGCTAATAAGGTAGGGTGTGTTTTGTAACCCAGTACTCAGGACAATTAGACAGTGTATTCAGTGATGCAGCACCTGCCCAGCATGTGCAAGGCCCTGGATTCCAGCTCCAAGCGGAGAAATGGGAGTAATACACATAAAAGTGAAGGACCATAGAGGCAGACACATCATGATTTCATATTTGCCCATGATGTGAGCAACTATTAAATATATGTGATTATTGCCATAATTATTATTTTGTTCTAATTTATAATATTGTTAGATTATAACACATACATTCATACTTAATCTGTGTTATTAACATTCTTTATTTAACCTTTTCTGCTAGTTAAACATTTCTTTTTTGAGACAGAGTCTCATAAGGTAATCCTGGTTTGCCTAGAACTCTGTACCAGACTGGCTTGGAACTCACAGAGATCACCTGCCTCAGCCTCTTGAATGCTGGGATTACAGGTGTGCACTACCATGCCTGATTTTGTTTTTGAGACAGTTTTACTCTGTATCTCTAGCTGACCTGGGACTGTGTAGATCAAGCTGATCTTGAACTTCTGATTCTCCTGCCTTTGCCTCTTGAGTGCTGGAATTATGGGTAGCATACCTAGCAAAATTAAACAGTTTTTAATCCCCCCTTTTTTGTTTTGTTTTGTTCTGTTGTTTGGCAGTATTGGGTATTGAGCTGCTATTTTACCACAGAGCTAAACCCTCAAGCCCCGACCACTTAATTTTGTGGTAGATATTTGTGGGCTTTTTGTTGTCGTTGTTATGTCATTGCTTTGTTATGTAAAGGTTCAGGGAGATTCAAAAGATTAAGCTAGTACCACCACATTCCCTGACCTTTTCAATTCTAGACACTGTAGGAAAACATTTTTTCATCCTTCTTTCTGTTAATTTATTTCGTATAAAACAGTTTTGGAAAAGGAATATAAATTCAGTTTGCTTAAGTTTTTGTTTTTAATACAAATAGCTTATTCTTTATTTTTGAAACAGAGTTTCTCTGTATAGCCCTGGCTGTCCTGGACGCTCTATAAAGAGAGATACCCACTCAGATACCCACCTGTCTTTGCCTCCAAGTGCTGGGATTAAAGAAAGGCATGAACCACCACGCCTGGCTAAATATCTTTTTGGTTTTTCAAGACAGGGTTTCTCTGTGTTGGTGTCCTGAATTTGCCTTGAAGACCAGGCTGGCCTCCGGGAGTTCCACCTGCCTCTGTCTCCCAGGCCTGGGATTACAGGCGTGTGTCATTGTGCCTGGCTCTGGCTAAATATTTTATTCTTGAATTTCTTTTTAGAATAGGAAAATGTTTCAGTAGGAACTATTAAAGACTGTATAACAAATCAATGAAATAAGTAAGATTTCTGTGTAGTTTGTGTGCTTGCTCCATATGGCTGAAATTAACAAGTTTAAGAACATTCTAGGAGGGCTAATAAGATAGCTGAACAGGTGAGGGTGCTTGTTGCCACACTAGATGGCCTGAGTTTAATTTTCAGACTTCACAAAGAGATTCTTCAAGTGGTTCTGTGACTTATTTTATTTTATTTATTTTTTTGGTTCTGTGACTTCTAAATATATACTGTGGCATTTTTTCATATGCAGGCATGCTCACACACACAAAATAAATTTAAAATTTCAATTACATCCTATCATACATGAGATTCACTTTTTAAACTCATGTTTCAGCTTGATAGCAACAAAGCACTGACATTATTCTTCCTTGTGTCTCCTGACATTCATCACTTCCAAAATGTAAGTAATACACACATTCAATTCAGGTATTTTAAAGAAGTGAAGTCTGCTCTAAGAATATTTTTATTAGATTTCATTAGTACTGGCTCTCAAAACCCTTGAAATTATGTTAGTGCCTTATGTTAGTGTCTTTATTTTATAGAGACTATCTTTAAGCAGTGACATATTTGAGGCGGACTATGAAAGCGAACAGCAGAGTGACACAGAAGAACATACTTCACCAAGGAAAAAGAAGAAAAAAATAAAGTGCAAAGAGGAGAAAAGTTCAGATGATCTGAGCAAAAAAAAAGCAAAAGTTGGAAAACTAAAAGATAATTTAGGTTTTGATGTAAGGACAAAGAAAAGAATTTTGGAAGTAAAGGAAGAATTAAAGGACACCAAAAAGCCCAAAAGAGATGAAATAAAGGAAATCAAGGAATTAAAGAAAGCTAAAAGGGCTGAATTACGAGATCTAAAGCTTAAAATAAGAGACAATCTCAAAGACAACCGCAAAACAAAGAAAGAGAGATATATTGGATCTCTCCTGGAGTCTGAATCACCTACACTTAATGATTCCTTCTTTCCAGAGGATGACAGTGAAGACTTTTTTTCTGACAACAGAGAAGAGAATCAAAAAATAAGAACTGTAAAAGATAAAACAGGACAGGATACAGTGCAGGAGGGTATTTTTGAGAAACACTTGGATGACCTTGTAAGTGCTGAGGAGGATGCTGGTGGCCGAGTTAAAAGGAAGAAGAAAAAACCAAGGAAGTTGGAGGAACCCAAAGAGATCAACAACCTAGAAAACATGAACACCGTTTTAGAAAGGAAAACCATACCTAAAAAGCAAAAAAATCAAGACAAAGGCAGAAGTAACGTAGAGTTAAATAAGTTACCATCACCTGTGTCTGCCCAAACCCTGAAGAGTTCCAGACTGAGTGGGGATGAGAAGGGCCTAAGGTCCTCTGACTCGGCAGAGGAGGTAAGTAAGGGCAGTTCAGAACTCGTAGAGTACAGAAGAATGCTTGGTACAGATTATTGCTGGCTTTTTTACAGTCAGGAACTTTTGCAGGATTGGCAAAGGAAATGGTCAAACTAGAATAAAGGGTAGTTTTTTAATATAGCGTCACTGAGGACAGCTGCCTGTGCTCAGATTTCAAGCATTCGAGCCCGAAGTTTAACGAAAGTCAGAATTTTCGTGGTGGTGTTCAGGTGGTGTGCAGCATTGTACAGTCAGGCCTGTTAGCTCCATCAACTTACAAAATGTCATTTTGGGGTGTGTATATGTATAAAATTTTTGACAGTTTCATACAATGCTTTTTCTTTTTTCTTTAGTTTTTCAAGACAGGGTTTCTCTGTAGCCTTGCCTGTCCTGGACTGGATTTATAGCCCAGGCTAGCCTCGAACTCACAGAGATCCAGATACAGTGCATGTTGATTGTATCCACCTTTACTGTCTCCCTAACTTCTTCCAAGTTCACTTAAAGAAAACTCATTGCTAGAAACTATCAACTCCATAGTCCTCAGGTAGAGATAGGACTTCATGGCTCTCTCCCCTTCTGTGTTAAAATACTGACAGGCTTGATCTTGTGCCTTTCTTCTTCCCTGCCCCTCTTTAAACTATAGCCCAGGCTAGCCTAAAGCTGCTCTTCCTGGAAGTTGGGGTTACAAGTTTAGTTTTCATTTTTATTTTATTTTATTTTTTGAGGTGGGGCCTCACTGTGTAGTCCTGGCTGGCCTCAGCCTCCAAGGGATTAAAGACATGTGCAACCATAACTGGCATGGTTTGTGTGGGTGCATTTTTGATATTTTTATTTTTGTTTATGTGAGTGGATGCCACATGTATGCAGGTACCTGCGAGAGGGTGTGAGGTTGCTGAGTACCACCCAAACTGTGGTCCTGTAAGAGTGGTAAGCGCTCTAAACCCTGGAGACTGCTCTCCAGCTTTCAGTTTTTGCATCTTGTGAGTTTCTCAGTTTTCGGTACAGAAAGGATGAAGTACACAGAGGACATTACTATTGGTTCTTTTAATTATTACAAAATATTTCTTATACCATTATTATATTAATTTACTTTTATATTTTTTAAAGAAAAATTTCACAATTAGAAAAATATTTGTCAAGAACTATTAAAAAAAAAGATGAGTTTCTTTTCATTATTCTTGTTTCTGAAAATGTATCCTAAGAATTTTAAAGAGGGGTAGCTATTTCTGTCAAGGTTTATTAAACTTTTTCCACTCTTGAGGCCTTTTCCTTTAAAAATTTTATGTGATCTTATATATAAAGCATATAAAATAGATAATACAAACCAAACATTTACTGATTAACAAATCATTAAGAAATCCATTTTAAAACAACCCCTGGTATACATATACTTTAAACATTTAGCGTATAAGTTTGCATACTAATAAATGTACTTATTCTAATATGAAATTTTAAATCTTGGATGAATATTTGATAGTCCAAAATGCAGTTTTTGGAATTGATCCATATTTTGATTTTATAATTTTGGATAAGTAAAATGCACCGTATACGAGTGTGTAATACAAAATGGCAGATAATTTAGGGCCTGTTAGAAACTGTTCTAATCTCAAGCCAAAAGATTACGAAATAAGGTAGCAGGATGGCCGTAAGTGAACTGGCTGTGTAGCTAAGAATGACCGTGTCTGTCTTCCCTGCTTGAGGATCATCAGCATATACTAACATAGCTTACATAGTTTACATAGCTCTAGGACTTGAACCAAAGGCACTGCACACGTTAGGCAAGCACTCTGTCTACCAACTGAAGTACATGCCAGCCCTCATCGTGATGTTTCTGTAGGAGTGGAAATGTGTACATAAAAACATACAGTAGTCTTAAGTATGTTGAGGGATCCACAGGATTGATAATGTGTGGTAGTATATTTGAGCTTGAACTAATTTTTGGTTGTTGCAAGTTCAAAAACGTGTTTCAGTTTTAAAAATGTTTTACTCCCTTGACAGAAGTGTTAAGTGATCCAGTAGTTGAAACTGTGCTTTATAGAAAGATACCAGGTCCTGTTTAGAAGTATATAACTATAATCTGAGCATTTGGGAAGCTGAAGCAGAGGGATTGGGAATTTGAGGCCAGCATGAGGCTATATAGCAAGACCCTGTCTGATAAAACTTAAAAGAAATATTTATGTTAATATTATCCTTAGTGAAAAATTGGTAAGTTTGTCTAGTCATGGGGAAAATGGTTCAGAAAACACAAGATCTTATTATGCATGGTTATGAGTCAACTTGGGGACTGTTATAGCAATTGAAACGTAAGGTCAGTAGACCAGAAGGAAAGCTTCGCACAATTTGGTGCAGTTAAAAACCATGTGTACAATATAAATAAAAGCAAAAGCATTATTTGGGAAGTAACAAGAATATAGGGGACTATAGAGAAATGAAACAGTGATGGTGGCTTATTGTTTTCCTTTTTATTTGTAGGTTGGACATGGTGCCACACATTTAATCTCAGCATTTGGAAGGGAGAAACAGGCATATCTCTGAGTTCAAGGCCAGCCTGGTCTACAGATTGAGTTCTGTGACAGCCAGAGCTACATAGAGAAAACTTGTCTTAAAAAAAAAAACACTAAAAAAAAAAAAGAAAGAAAGAAAGAAAAGATTATTTGTATGAATGGTTTCTCTGCATTTATGTGTCTGTACAGTGTGTCTACCTCCTGCCTGCAAAGTCCAGAAAGGGGCATCAGATCCCCTGAAACTGGAGCTGTTCATGTGGGTTCTGGGAACCGAACCCAAGTCCTTTATAAAAACACCAAGTGCTCTTAACTCGGAGCCATTGCTGCAGTTCTGAGATAAGGTTTTTATAGAGTTTACTTCTGTAGCAGTTTAGTTCTCATTGTACAGAAGAGGAGATTTCACAGTGACTTTTTTTAATACATGTATACGGTGAAGTTGGATCATATACAAGTTTTTTGTTTATTTGTGAAAAGGTTCCTACATAGACCAAGCTGGCTGTGAATTCATGTCCCTGCCTCTATAGAGTGCTGGGATTAAAAGTTTGCACTACCATGTTATGCTCAAACATTTTTAATAATAAATTCTTAAAAAGAAAATTGGGTTTTGAGTTCTATTTTATACATGTTTATCATGTCAGAAAGAGTCTTGCTTGAGGGAGCAGTGGGAGGAAACGGAATTATCAGCTTCTATGTGCTCAAGTGTGCGTACACAGAGTTGGATGCCTAAATATCCCAGTTTGCAAATATTACAGTATCAGCTCCTTATCCATTCTTGTTTTGAGTTTTCTATTCATTATTCTTTAGGAGAAAGAAGCCAGAAAAAATGAACCCAAAGAAAAATGTCAGAAAAGGTATGATTTGATCAAAGAAGAAAAAGGCAGAATGGAGCCAAAGGGATTAAAATGTAAGTATAAAATTAAAATATTTCCATGTTTATTGCCATTATTAAAAATTAATGATTTTATGTAGATATGTGTGTCTGGGTGTATATATGTGCATATGTATGCAGGAGTCCTCAAGGGTTAAAAAGGGATATTGGAGCCTTTGGAATTGGAGATATAGATGTATGTCAGCACTATGAGGGTGCTGGGAACACAGCTGGGGACCTTTGCTAGAGCAGTAAATACTCTGAACTTCTGACCATATCTTCAAGTCATCTTCTCTATAAAGAGCTAATCCTGAAGATAATCTCTTTTTTTTTTTTTTTTTAAAAAAAAAGCTATTTATTTATTATTTATACAGTATTCTGCCTGCATGTGTGCCTACAGGCCAGAAGAGGGCACCAGATCTTGGATAGTTTTGAGCCAACATGTGGTTGCTGGGAATTGAACTCAGGACCTTTGGAAGAGCAGCCAGTGCTCTTAACCTCTTGAGCCATTTCTCCAGCCCGATAATCTCTTTTCTACCCTGTAATGCTATAAAATTTTGTTCTTCAAGGAATTTAGAGCTTTACATTTCATTTAATAACTTAGTTTGTTGCTGGGCATTGATGCTGTATACCAGTAATTCCAGCAGAGGCAGGTGGGTCTCTGTGATTTCAAGGCCATCCTTGTCTAAGAGCTAGTTCCAGGATAGTCAAGGCTACACAAAATAACCTTGACTCAGAAAATTATTATAAAGGTTGAATATTCCTTCTCTGAAATATTTGGGACCAAAAATGTTTCTGATTCCTCATTCTGGTTCAGTGATATTTATATGTACATATGTTTCCATGTTTTTGTCTCCTGATACTTGAATTAAGAGTGGAATTTTCCACTTATAGCTTCAAGTTTACTTTTGGGACATTTCTGGTTTCTCTAGAGTTTAGTTTATCTTGGTGAGGTTTATGCAGGTGCATGTACACATTTGCCCATTAGGTTCACTGCTCTATCACTCTCTACCTCAACCCCTTGGGCTAGGGTCTTCCTTCCACTGAGTCTAGAGGTGAGCTGGCAGTCTGCAACCCCAGCCATTCACTTGTCCAGACCCCACAAAGTTGTAGAATTTCAGGCCCTCATAACCTGTTCTGACTTTTATATCTGAGAGTTGGGAACTCAGGCCTCGTGACTACATGAGCTTACACATTAGGCCATCTCTTTAGCTTGCTTGCTTGCTTTCAGATTTATTTATTATTTATACAATATTCTTTCTGAACACTAGATCTTATTATGCATGGTTATGAACCACCATGTGTTTGTTGGGAATCGAACTCAGGACCTTTGAAAGAACAGCAACTGTTCTCCAGCTCTCTTTAGTTTTCTTGAATTTAGTTGTTTTGTTTTGTTTTGTTGTGGTTGTGTTTTTTGAGGCTGTCTTCAAAAAACTGAGACTCTCCTGCCTGCCTCTGCATCTGGGATTAAAGGGGTGCACTATCATACCTGGCCAGCCACACATTTTTAGTACTCTTTTATTTTTTTTCCCCCTCCCCATGTTGGAGGTGGAACTCATGCTGAGAGAGTGCTGAGGAGCATCTCCAGTGGTAAAAGTAGATTTTATCTTAGGGCCACACTCAGACATAGCAGTAGTGATGCCTGTCTCAGTGGCTCATACTTAAAGTACTATAAGAACTGCATTTTGAACAATACAGGAAGCACTTACTATATTTTAGATATTTGTTAGATACTCAAAATACTGTCAAATTAATATTTGGGCAGATGCCCAGGATGAATGCTGCTGATCAGATGTTCTGAACTACACTTCAGTGGTTGTGACAAAGGACAATTGAAGGAGAGGATCTCTGTGATTCTTGCCACCTTTCTTCCTGAGAAAGGCCCATGCATGACTGTCCTAGAGCTTGTGCAAAAGTTGTTTCTGGTGCTGAATGGGGAAAAAGCATGATGTAGGAGCACTGACCATGCACCTGATAAAGCCACCGAATTCCACTAGCTTGCACTAAAAATGAAATGCAAGAACAGCTAGGCATATAGATTAGTGGAAGAGTGTGTGCTCAGCATGCAGTGTCCGTGGTTCTATCTTGAACACCAAAAGTGGGGTGAGGGGTTTAGGAAAGAATATATAAAGCACTAGACTATTTTATTTTATTTTATTTTATTTTGGTTTTTCGAGACAGGGTTTCTCTGTTTAGCATTGACTGTTCTTGGACTCGCTCTGTAGACCAGGCTGGTCTCAAACCCAGATTCACCTGCCTCTGCCTCCCAAGTGCTGGGATTAAAGGTGTGCACCACCACTCCCTGGCTTGGAAGGACTCTTAAGAATGCTGGTTATATAGGTTTTTTTACTAGCAAGGATATTGGAAACCAGACTCAAGAATACTCCACATACATGAAATAAATGGTAGTTCTATTTAAGGCAAAACTGCACTTGAAATTGGCATACAGTATGAAGGATCTAGTCTGGTAGAGTACGTCCAGCATGCACAGGGAAATTAGTCTCCCCTCTTCCCCACAAAAAAGAAAGAAAAAAAATGAAGAAAAAGCTATTCAAGCAGATTTGAATACTCCTTTGTCACAGCTTTCTCAATACTGAATAGTCAATAAAAAACCAATTGAAACAACTTGTGACTATCATAGTAAATCTTTGCTTCATAACGGCAAGTATTTAGTAAAACTACAGAAAAACATGTTTATTCAGTGTGGATACAGATTTTCTTTTGATTGTAACATAAATTTACAACTCCAGGTTAACCATTGGCTTTAATTTTTGTACTTAGCATTTAAAGAAATCAGAAGTGCATTTGATTTATTTAAAAAAACAACAGAAGATAAAAATGATGTTCTTGAGAATAATTGGAAAAGAGAAGAAATACCACTGGATTATAAAACTACAGATGATTCCAAAACCAAGGACAAGTGTTCACTTAAAGAAAGAAGAACGGCTAAAGATGAGACTGACACTTGGGCACACATAGCTGCAGAGGGGGATCAGGAAGCTGCAGACAGTGTGTGCCAAACAGATGAGACTTCTGGTGAGTTTGCCTGGCATTTTTCAAATAGAGTGGTTTCCGAGTATTGACTTTATTCAGATCTCCTGAATAACTTAATGTTGAAGACTCAAGTCATTCTTTGACATCTAAATGCATCAAATATTCTAAGTTCTTATAATACAAGAAGATTCCTATTTTCCAGCTTAATTTTGTTGGTGTTGTTTTTCAAGACAGGGTTTTTCTGTGTAGCCTTGTCTGTCCAGCAACTCACTGTTGTATGCCAGCCTGTCTCTGCCTCCCGAGTGCTAGGGATTAGAGTGTGCCACCACCACCTGGCCCAGCTTAATCTTTCTTTCGTTCTCTCTCTCTCTCTCTCTCTCTCTTTCTTTGTTTCTTTCTCTTGCTCTTTTCTTTTTTTCAAGACAGGGTTTCTCTGTGTAGCCTTGGCTGTCCTGGACTAGGCTGTCCTCAAACTCCCAGAGATCCTTCTACCTCTGCCTCCCTTTCAGATATCTGAAAGATTTTTCTGTGAAGGGGTGCTGGAATCAAAGGCATGCGCCACCACACCTTAATTTTTATTTTGAGATTTCATTTCAAAATGATCATGTAAAAAGCTGTGCATGGTAACGCCAGCCCTCAGTAGGTATGGCGAGAGGACTGAGAATTAAAGGTCATTTTCCGCTCCATAGGGAGTTGGAGGACATGTAGCCATGAATCGGTACCTCCTATTTCTTCCTCCTGAGTGTTGGATAGTAGATGTGTACCATCACTCCTTGCTGTGTATTTTTAACTGTGTAGAAAATAGGTAATATAAATGAGACTTTAGTGTGTTAACATTTCAGAATGAAAAGTTCTTGTGTAGAATACAAAATACAAAATGGGAAGGAGGAATTTAAAAGTGTATCTGTATAATCAGTAAGAATGAGATATTATTGTTTTAAAACAAAATCTCAGTCATTTGGTTTTTACCAATGAAGACTCAGGAGCCAGATGCTGGGGTGAAAACCTTCTAACTCAGAGAAGTAGAGAAAGCACACAGCTGACCTTCCTACTCAGCTGATGTCCCAGGAGGAAAAAAAGTCCTTTTTCCTTTTCCATGCTGTCTTAAGTACCCTCAACTAAATGTCCCTCTTTTCTGTTTACTTACATTTACTCCTGGTTACTTGCTCTTGACCTATAAATGCTCTTGGATTAAAGGTGTGTACTAGGGCTGAACCATACCACAAATACTTATTTACATAAACAGAAAGCTCTAGATCAAAGACTGAGCTATACCACAAATAGAAACAGGTTTTTCCAGTTCACATTCTTGGGGTTCACATTGTGATCAAATACCCTGTGTGATGACACACCTATAATCTCAGCACTCAGGAGGCAGAGGCAGGTAGATGTGAGTTCAAGGCCAGCCTGGTCTACAAAGTGAGTTCAGGACAGTCAGGGCTACTATACAGAGAAACCCTGTCTAGAAAAATCAAAAGGAAAAAAAAAAAAAATCTCTTGATCTTATTTAAAATTGTATAATCTGTGAATCTCAAGGAATAGATTTAAAATATTTTTCTTTAAATACTTTGTTATTGTTGTTGAGACAGAATGTCACTACGTAGCCCTGGTTGGCCTGGAGCCCGTATACATAAACGAGGCTGTGCCTCCTGCTCACAGCAGTTCTGTCTCTGCTTCACAGATTCTGAGATTGAAACACCTAGTCTTATTACTGAAAAAAAGATTTTAGTTGTATTTTTGTGAGTGTGTTCCACATAAATGCCTGATAACCAAGGAGGTTAGAAGAGGGCATTGGATTCCCGGGAACTGTAGTTACCAGGTAATGAGCCACCATGTAGGTGCAGGAACTGAACCCCAATCCTGTCAACTGATCTGTGTCGCAAGGCCATTCTTTTTAGAATCACATTGCTTCTAAACATTTACATTAAGTCATTCTTTATGTGTAAACAATTCCATTCTGTATGAAAATACAAATCATTGCTTATGCTTCCCTTCCTGCTAGAAACCAAATGCTTCTACAGGGCAGCAAGGCCATACCTCATGTTTACTGACAATCCACTCCTATGCTCATGGCCTTCAGGCCCTGAACACTAAAATGTACTTGTTCAACCCTTACTTATTGCATCATATATCTGACTTACACACTCAGGGTAGTCTAAAATGTCTACATGTTACTTTACTAAAGTGAAAACCAGAGCAGGGACTGGGGGCTCATACCTAAAATGCCAGCACTTGAGAGACTGAGGGGCTGAGACAGAGCAGATTCCCAAGGCTATACAGAGAAACCCTGTCTCAACTTCCTCCCCAAAGTGAAATACTAAAATTTAACTGTAGTATACACAAACATTTGTTTTAAATGTGACAAACTTAATAATCATATGATTTTGTGAGTTTTTTTAATACTACTTCTTAAGATTGTACATTAATGATGTTTTTGTGTATTCTAGATGGCAGGCAACAGGTTTTGAGTTTGGGTATGGACCTGCAGTTGGAGTGGATGAAATTAGAAGATTTTCAGAAGCATCTTGATGGGTCAGATGAGACCTTTACCACAACAAATAAGATTACAAGCAGTGAGTGATTTGCAATTTATTTGGCTCTTCTACAAATCTAGAGTTATTAACTCTAACACATCTTTCTTTTCATTATAGATTTGTTGAGGGATGCCGTGAAAAATGGAGATTATATTGCTGTGAAGGTCGCACTGAACTCCAATGAAGAGTACAACTTGGATCAGGAGGTACTATGCTTTGGTGGGGGCAGATCTCACAAAGACTGTACAATATGGGCAGTTATTTTCTTAGAAAAGTGTTACATGATCATATTTTAAAGGTCAAATACCTTAGACCGTATAGTTGTACATTAGATTCCTTAAACTGTTGATGATATCACTGGGTTTTGTGATATATTGTTTATTTTTCTGTTATTATAATAAAATGCTATGACCAGAAGCAACTTAAAGAAGGAAGAGTATCTTCCCCACCAGCACCACCAACTGGAAAGCAAGTGTTAAATATTTGAGTGTTGGAGGTTGGTCTGGTATATGTCACTGGCCCTTAAGATATGGTTACACCTATCTTTCTTTTGTAAACCTGCCTAAGACATATTTGACTGCTTGGTTAAACAGCCTATATCTGGGCAGGGCAGAATGAGGTAGACATGGCTAGGTTTCTAGACTTTTGAGGACAAAAGAATCATGAACATCAAGGGACAGACAGACAGACAGGAAGAGAGGAGGAAGAAGGAGGCCACCATGGGTTAGCATGGGGAAAACCATGTGGGTCTGGAGAAGGGACCCCAATGATGGCATGAAAAGGCCCAGATAAAGAATAAAAGAAAGTACCATGGGATTATTGATGAAAGGTAGTCCAATTTAGGAGGATTAAGGCAGATGGCATTGGATGGAGGCTGGGAGGTGGATGGTAAGGATACTGAGACAGTGTAAGTGAAATATCTGCCTGGCCCAGGTAAATAAGGCAATTATAAATCTAACAGTTGTCTGTGTCTTATTATTTGTGATAGCAGGTTAAATAATACCGCCTTGATAATCTTAGGGCCAGTAAAATATATAGCCCAAAACCTTTCTATTATTTACTGCAACACTTGAGTCTATGGGGGACATTTCTCACTCAAACCATGCCTGGGGATTATTTTATACTGAAGCAATAAGAGGTGTAAAAGAACTTCCTTGGGGCTGTTTATGTGGCTGTTACTTGGTTTTGATGGCCTAGCTTTTCATGTCACTCAAGATCTTTTATATCAATGTATGTGAATTTTTGGTTTTTCTTTTTACATGGAAGCATATTAGTTTTTTCCTCCTCTCATTTTTAGATGAGATATTAATTGTTGGGAATTTTTTCTTTTGAAATAGAATCTCATTATATAGCCAGGCTAGCCTTGAACTTGCTGTGAATTCTCTTGCCTAAGCTTCTCAAGCACATATGACTTTATACTGTCTCATCTTCCTTAGACAAGATTATATGATTATGTTCTCATAGGATTTTTGCTTTAATGATATGTTTTTAATTTTTAAAAATCTTTAATCTTTATTTGTTGTTGGGGAAAGTGTATGTCACTTAATTAACATTTTTTAAGCCAGGCCAGTGTAGACAGGCTGTGTAAACAAGGATGGCCAACATCTGAGTCTCCTACCCCTATCAGCTGAGTATTGGGATTATGAGTGTGAGTCGCCACAGTCATTTAAATTTTACACTCATGAAACTCTTACTCTTACCATTTTAAATAATGCTTTGGATTTTATAGGAGAGAACTGAGCATCTGGCTCAGTTTGCCATTCATTTTATACCAAGAAAACTTGATATAGAATTTATTGCAGGGGGGGTTGGGGATTTAGCTCAGTGGTAGAGCACTTGCCTAGCAAGCGCAAGGCTCTGGGTTCAGTCCTCAGCTCTGGGGGGGGGGGGGGGGGGAAGACAAAATAACAAAAAGAATTTATTGCATAGAATTTATTTAATGTTTGAAAAGATTTATTTATGTATTTTATGTATATGCATGTTTTTTTTTCCTGCGTTTGTGTTTGTACACCAAAAGAAGGCATTAGATCCCATGGGACTACAGATAGATGGTTGTGAGTTGCTTTGTGGGTGCTGGGAATTGAGACCTCTAGAAGAGCAGCTGGTACACTTACCTGCTGAGCCGTCTCTCCAGCCTCTATTTAGTTTTTTATTTAAGATACTTCGTTTAATGTGTGTGAGTGTCTGCTTAAGCATATGTACATTGGCATTGCAGGATCCTCCAGTTTTGGAGTCATGGAGAGCTGTGAGCCGCCATGTGGGTGCAGGGAACTTAACTGTGTGCTCTGGAAGAGAGCTGCTGCTCTTACGCACTGAGCCGTCTCTCCAGCCCCCTAACCACCCCATCCCCCTTTGCCCAGTCTGTCCTAAACGTCAGTGTCTATGTAGTTCAGATTAGCTCCAAACTTGTAGAAATCCTGCTGGCTTTGCCTTCTAAGTGCATGAGCCACCATACTCATTGATTATACAGGAGGATTATAACTTTTGTGTGTGGGGGGGGTTCAACACAGGGTTTCTCTGTGTAGTCTTGACTGTCCTAGACTCGCTTTGTAGACCAGCCTGGCCTCAAACTCACAAGAGATCCTCCTGCCTCTGCCTCCCCAAATGCTGGAATGTCAGGCAGGTATACTGTGCCTGGCAATAGAAATGGATCTTAAAAATTAGGTGGCAAGCCTTTGAGGAAAACAGTGGCCTCTATATGCGTGCATACACATATGCATGTACGCCTCCCCCTATGATCACATACACAAAACATTCTAAAGATTTTAGATTCTGATTACTTAGTAGTATATTTTAGTAAGCAGCCTAACCTAAGCGGATGTTTAAATCAATGTACTTTAGTGATTTTTTTCCTTGAAATATCTTACAGAAGAGACTTGCTTCTAAAATGTTTCTGATGAAAGACTAACATGGTTTCTCATTAACAAACTGTCACAGGATTCTAGTGGGATGACACTAGTGATGTTGGCTGCAGCAGGAGGGCAGGACGACCTCCTGAGACTCCTTATTACCAAAGGTGCAAAAGTGAATGGGCGCCAGAAAAATGGGACTACAGCCCTCATTCATGCTGCTGAGAAGGTTTGAGACTTGATTGCATGAAGGGACACTGAGAATCTTTTTTTTTTTTTTGTAATGAAATAGAATGGTCATATGTCACTGAGCCCTCCTTTATGGTTTCAGTGGGTCTGTGACTTGTGAATTAATTTCTGCTATTAGCAGTACTTTATAATCAGATTCAACATGTGACTTGCCTAGTTGGTAATTTATAATGAATGCAAACTCTAGTTATACTGCCAGTCTTAAATGATTTAGAGGACTCCCGTGTAGCATTTCTCGCATGCAAGCCAGGGTTAAGCTTCAGTAGTACTTGCTGACACATCAGTGAAGGACCAGGCTCAGAAGGTGGGCTCCTGTGGCCTACAGTGATGAATCAGGGAGATGGTGGCCGGCCAGTCCCCTGCATGGAATAGAATCTGCTGGGTCTTTCTTGGTTGCAAAACATCTGAAAGGTCTGTCTTTTAACAAAGTCTTGTAATGAAGTTTGTTTCTTATTTTAATAGAACTTTCTAACCACTGTGGCTATTCTTTTGGAAGCTGGAGCTTTTGTAAATGTCCAGCAAAGCAATGGTGAGACTGCGCTCATGAAAGTAAGTCTTCACTTTCACACTGGGGGTTGGTGTTGGGGCTTCAGACTGGGGAAGCATAGGCACAAGGTGGTCCCTGGGACTCAGCAGCTCCACATAGTAGACGTGGATCAGCAAAACGGCAGAGAATGGTCAGGTCAGTGGTGTACAGGAATACTCAGTCTGAGGGACCTAGACAGCATTATGGGATGGAGGCGATGGGCACTGAGTCAGCAAAGGAAATGGATCAGGAGTTGGGGAAATAGAAGGGATTGCAGTGCTTCAGTGAATGAGAACTCTGCTAAAAGTAAAAGGTGCTGGAAAGAGGCAGACAGATCCAAGATTGCAATGAGTGGAATTTAAGATTTATAGATGGGTGTGTCTTGAGTGGTTTCTAGACTAGTTGATTCTCGTTACCCAAGGCAGAATACAGATTCTGTCTGCTAAGCTAGACAGAGACAGCCATTTCCTAGAAGCAATTAATATGTCCAAGGCCAGTTAAGAAACTGACCTCAGCAGCTGAATGCGGTAGTACATACCTAATCTCAGCACATCAGCTAAGGCCGATGGATCTCTATAAGTTCAAGGCCAGCTTGGTCTACAAAGCAAGTCCAGGACAGCCAAAGCTACAAGTCTCAAAAAAACAAAAAAAAGAAAAAGAAAAGAAACTAACATCAGAGGTCTATTATTTAGGTTAATGACTTCTGTCCAGCAGGAGTTGGGTAATGTGCTAGAGATGCCCCAAAGTTGCAGTGGCAGGAAAAGCAGTATCTCTGTAGTCACATGAAAGGGTGTTCAGCATCCATCTTCATGGGTTTAGAGGCCTGGGAGTAGGAAAGGAAGATGATGTGCTCTCATTTTGTATTTGGCAAACCCATTTTTGGAATTGTGGCTTTACAGATATTTGAGTTGAAAGGTCCACGACCCTGCTTGTACCTTTCTTTGAGTGGTAGGTTGCATGTATCTCACTAGCCTCCACCCAGAGTGGCTCATTCCTTTGCAGTAGTTCCAGGTTTCTGGCTCATAGTGCTGCTAGAATTCAGCAGGTCCAGGTGTCCATAGGTGTTTTCTCTCTTCCCTGAGGTACAGCTTTGCATAAGCTGTGCTCTGAGCAGGAACTTATCTGCAATACCAGGTTGCACTCTGTCAGTGCGTGAATTGGATTACAGTACAACCCCAGGCTTGTCCTGAACTCTGTGTTCTAGTAACCTGGATTCCTTTTCTTCTGGGCCTCCTGTTAGACCCTCAGGTCTAAGCCTTGGTCATTGCTTTGTGATTCCTCCCTATTCCTGATTTTGGTTTGTGTAAATAGTCCTTTTCTTCAGGGGTGAGCTTGTGTGTCTGTTACGACCACATAGGTACATCAGAGGTGGCACCTCAGAGTACTGTCTAACTGAGAAACTGCTAGACAGCAGACACTTGCACCTCAGTAGAAGGAAGAGCACAGGAAGAGGATACCAGCATTTTCCACCAAGCTATTCATGATTGGGTGTGTTCCAGAAGGCACTTGCGAGATTGAGAAAGAAGTGCCCAGATTAAAGGGTAGGCTTGTTCGAATGTTCAGTAGAGAGAGTGGATTCAGGATGAGACAAACAGTTTGCAGACTTGTAGGGAGGTTCCTGAGGTGAAGTAATATTAGTCTGTACCTAAATAGCGACAGGGATCAAGCGAGCGGTTCTCTAGCATTTTAGGGGATCGAATTCACAGAACAGAGCAGGTGCTAGCTGATTTTCCTTAGTTTGGGAAGGAAAAGTAGGCTTCGGTGAAAGATGGTGGGACAGTCAATGAAGGTTTAGGGAGCCTGGCCAAGTGTCAGTTTGTGCCCTGGGACTGAGCTCCTCCTCACAGCAGCCTCTAGCGAACTCTTCTGTGCTGCCCTGTTGCTAATGCTTGCTAGGACCTGGCCTCAGATGTCTTCTTCCCTTTCTTGTGTTTGCTCTCTGAAAAAGACATGCCAGGCGTGTAGAGAGACTGAAGTGACTGTGGTTCACAGTAAGAAATGCTGCTTCTTTCCGATCTAGGCATGCAAAAGAGGAAATTCGGACATTGTGCGCCTTGTGATTGAATGTGGAGCAGACTGCAACATTTTGTCAAAGCACCAAAATAGTGCATTGTATTTTGCAAAGCAGTGTAACAATGTGCTTGTGTACGAACTGCTGAAGAGCCACTTGGAGATGTAAGTGTCAGGTGAATGTGCCATGGGTCAGAGTGGGATAACAGCTATTAGAAGACATCGTATTTGGAGAGGTTTGTGTTGGAAAATGTTCAAAAAAGGTTATCCTGTTGTGTTTCTCACTTCAGTAGATTGTGCATTTAGTGGCATATTTACTACTTTTGTGCAAGTTCTTAAAGTCTTAGAAACCCCTAGACATCTCCTTAAAAATGTTCAGTCTAGGACTGGAGATGAAGCTCAGTTAGTAAAGTGCTTACCTAGTATGCTCAGAGCAGAGCCCTGGGTTTAGTCCTTAGCATTTCTTAAAACCAAGCATGGTGGCACATGCCTGTAATGGCATTTAGGAGGTTAGAGAAAGAAGATGTAGAGGTCAGGGTAGCCAGTCCTTGGCTACATAGCTAGTTCGTACCAGTCTAGACTATGTTAAGACTCTCAAAAGTTAAGTCTACTCTTAAATTGACTGACATTTCCCTCGTGTGTACCTGCACCTGTGCGCAGGCCTATGGAAACCAGAGGCTGACAACCGTGTCTTCCTCACTTTTCTCTCATCCTAGTCTGACAGCTTGTCTAAAGAATCCCGGGAAGCCAGTTCATCCCTTCTTTCCTCTGAACACAGTGGGTAGCTGCAGAGAGCCTGGGAGAGGAGTGGCCAGCCATCTATCTCCCTTTGCTCAGGTCTGAGCTCCCCACTTCTAATTTCTCACTCAGGCATTAAACAAGCACTGAGTGGATTTCTGTGCCAGATACTATTTCAAAGCCTAGATTATGAAGACTGAGTAAAAGTTGCCCTTGTACAACTCCTGTTTTCTAATAAGAGGAGATGGATGAAAAGGAAATTGAAAGGCCACTTATGAGAGGAAATCCAAGTGAGGCCAGAGTTATAGTTCCTTTTCACAAAGGTGGTGCTGGGTTGTGTGGATCAACTACAATTGCAGTTACTCAGGTGGCTAAAGCATACAGATTGCAAGTTCAAGCCCTACTTGGGCTACAGAATGAGTTCAAGGTCAGTCTGGGCAATGTAGTAAAGTCCTGCATCGACATAGAGTAAAGAGGTGGCTCATTGGTAAGAGTGCTCGCTGGGCACCCATGAGGACCAAGGTTAGCCCACATGTCAACAAGGTGGGCAGTCATGGTCTCACTCCTACCTGTAACCACAACCCTGAGATGTTGGAGACGGGAGGTTATTGGGTATTTCTGGCTGCAGCCTGACTGGATACTGAGTCCCAGATTTAGGGAGAGAACTGCTTTGAAGGGATAGGGCGGAGAGTGATAAAGGACGACACAGTGCTGTCCTCTGACTCCACATGGGTATGTGCACACATATGCACCCACAACACAAAAATCAAAAACGTGGTTTCTGAAAGGTGAAACCAGGGCTAGGACAATTGTTTTAGACATGTGCAAGGGCCTAGGCAGTGCAAGAAAATAATAATAAAGTGAAAAAGCAACGCTGGCGGGTGGGCACACCTTTGACCCAGCTCTCAAGAGGCAGAGGCAGGCGGATCTCTTGACTTCCAGGCCAGCCAGGGCCACACACAGAAACCCTGTCTCAAAAAACAAGGTTAGAAGCAGAATTAGTGGGTAGTTTATGGTTATTGTACAGTGAAGAGTCCACCTTTTGGTGCCTGCCATTTGTGGGGGATAAAGGAAAGGTAGGGGCTCACATATTCCAGTCCAGCCTCAAACTCTGTAGTTGAGGCTGGCCTTGGGCTTTTTTTTCTGTGTAGCCTTGGCTGTCCTGGACTCATTTTGTAGACCAGGCCGGCCTCCGATGCATGCCTGCCTCTGCCTCCTGAGTGCTGGGATTACAGCTGTGTGCCACTGCTCCCCGCTAATGGCCTTGAACTTGTGATCTTCCTAGTCTTTCTCCTGAGTACTAGGGTTATAGCTGCATGCCACCACATCTGATTTATGTGGTGCTAATCACCAAAGTCTGCGTTTCATACATTCTAGGCAGATGAGTTACATTCCCACCCCGTAATGTAATTGTGCAGTACGATACAGTGTGATGATAATACAGTACACCATTTGTAATGATCAAGTCGGGTAACTGAAGTTTTTCATTGGCTAACAACAGTTACAGTTCTTTATGTGGTACAGTGTAATAATTCAGCACACCTACATTAACTCACTCTAGCCCAGGCTGTCTTCAAACTGATGGCAATCCTACATGAGCGTTCTGAGTTTTGAGGCATGAGTCCAAACCCAGCTATTACATTAACAGTCTTCTGGTCTTCTCTTACTAGGCTTTCGAGAGTTGCAGAAGAAACAATCAGGGACTATTTTGAATCTCGCCTTGCTCTACTAGAACCTGTTTTCCCCATAGCATGTCATCGGCTCTGTGAGGGGCCAGATTTCTCAACGGATTTCAATTACAAGCCCCCTCAGAACATACCAGAAGGTAAGTAGATAGACATGTCTCTTTCAAACTTAAGTGTTTAAAGTTATAGCCTGTAAAAATGTTTGCTCCTAAATAAAACTTTTCTGTTGAAGGAACTCTTTCACAGACACCACTGTGTGGTAGCTGGCAGGAGGCATCCCATGCCCCTTTATCTGCCACTGAGTCCTGTTTAAGATGGATACTGGTTCTTCATAATTACAGCTGTTTACTGAGTTTTGTTAAAAGACAGCTTTATAATTCTAAGCCTACAATCTTAATTTTTCTCCCAAATTTAATATAGTCAGTGGGTTACCCCTTGTTTGGCTTGTTTTTGTTTTGTTGCTTTTTTGAGACAGGATCTGTCTCACTATGTAGTCCTGGCTGGCCTGGAACTTGTTATGTAGATCAAGCTAGCTTTGAACTTAAGAGATCTACCTGCATTAGCCTCCTGTGTATTTGGATTTAAAGGTATGTTCTATCATGCCTGACTTTGGTGGGGTTTTTTATTGTTGTTGTTTTTTGTTTGTTTATTTAATAGTCTTGGTCCAATACTCCTGTCTTACCTTCTGAGAGCTGGGATTACATTCATGAGTCATTACCTGGCATAACTTTTTAAGAAAACCTGGGAGGGGGTGCAGTGAGGACTGCCCCATCCCATTGGAGTTAAGGACAGAGCTATAAGCAGTTATATGGGGTCTGGGGGCACCTCAGGGGTGGAGCTACCAGTAAGTTGCCCCTGATTGAGTAACTGCCTCAGCCATGCTTGAAACCATAATTAGATGTGGTGGGCGTTGAAACAATGGTAGGAGAGGAACCTATTGGGAAGAAGCAGTTTGGTGGACAGTGGGGAGTAGGGAATTAAGACTAATATATGAAACTGTGAAAAGTTAGAGCTGCTGCCGAGTTCAGTCATCAGAACCCACATGGTAAAAGAGAACGTTCTCCAAAGAGTTGTCCTCTGTCTTCCCCCATGGCACATTTAAAAGAGGGCAGAGAACGTTGTCTTTAAGTGGTTATTTCCTCTTACATACCTTTATCCTCAGTTTAAAAATGTGTACTTAGACTTGTAAGATAACCCAGTGGGTAAGGCTTCTGCCAGCAAGCCTGATGACCTGAGTTTGATCCCTAAAACCTACATGGTAGAAAGAGAACCAACCTCCAAAGTTGTCCTCTGGCCTGCATACACCACGTGCTATGTGGGCTCATGCACACAGAGTAAGGTAAGAGTTGCCACATGGGTGCTGGGAATTGAACCCTAGTCCTCTGGAAGATCAATCAGTACTCTTGAGCCATCTCTCTGACCAACTACTGAGCCATCTCTCTGGCAAAGTTTTTTGTTTTGAAAATTTTTTAATGCATTGCTGTAATCTACATTATAATATGGCATTTGGGTGGTTTATTGCTACTGATATGCATTTGAAGACTTCCAGGAAATAAAACAGACACATATATTTATTTATACATGCCCAATGTAAGGATAAAAATTTTTAATGTGTATTCCTAAGTCAGGTGTGGCTATCTACACGTGCAATCCTAGCACCTAGAACATTTTAAAAATTATACATTTGCGTGCAAGTGTGCATCATGGTGCATATGTGGGGGTCAGAAAACAACTCTGCAGGTGTCAGTTTTTTCCTAACACTTTGTGGATGGAACTCAGTTTGCAAGGCTTGGTGGATAAGTGTCCTTTAACTTGAAGAGCCATTTGTGTGTGTGTGTCTTCTGTCACATACACAAACGGGATTTTAAAATATTTTTTTTCCATTACATTTTTGTTTGTGGGTATGCTTGTGCCAGGGTACAGTTGCAAGTGAAAACAGTTTCTGAGAGTTCTCTCCTTCCGCATATGAGTTCTTTGGGAGCCAAATGCAAGTGGTCAGGCTTGGTGGCAGCAGCATTGTCACTTCCCATCTCTCTGGCAACCTTAGCACTAAAGAAGCTGAGGCAGGAGGCTCCTGGGTCCAGCACAGAGCATTTGCCTAGCAGGCAAGTACCTGAGCTGGGTCTGAGCGTTAACATAAACTGCATTAGTGGTCCATCCCTGTAAGCCCAGCACTCAGGAGGTGGAGGCAAGACAGTCAGGATTTCAAGGTTATCTTTTTGGACAGTATTGAATTCAAAGCTATCCAGGGGTACGTGAGATCTACCTGCCACAAAGTGAATTCAAAGTGAAAATTAAATTCAAAGCAATTCAAAGTGAATTGCTGCATTGTCAGTTAATGAATTAGGTGTAGTTTTGTATTTTTAGATAGGGTCTCTGTGTAGCTTGGGTTTGTTTTGAACTCTGAACAGACCTTCCTCCTCTTTAAGCACTGGGCTTATAAGCACACAGTATCATGACTGGCTCATGATTTGTAGCTTTGAATATTATAGGGCATATGCATTGCAGGGAGGGGGCTTAGGCTTCATCTTACCATTAATAGATGTAACTGGACCAACCATGCCCACAAAATTATTTTGTTTTGCTTTCTCCTACTTGCATAAGTATTTGCATGAACCAGAAATTCTGCTATTCTTCTGAAATCTTTTAAGACAGAAATGTAAGGTCCTTATAAGCATGTAATGTCCCCAACAGCAGGCTCAAAGTCCCATCCTGGCCATTCTCTGTGTCACATTATGCTGCTGAGGAGTTAGAGGATAGCTCAGTAGTAGGACACTTGTCTTGTGTGTGTGTGTTTAAATTATGATTTATTCACTTTGTATCCCCCTCCTTCATCCCCTCCCAATTCCATCTTCCTCCTCTCTTCTTTTCCCATACCCCTACTCCAGTCCGCTGATAGGCAAGGTCCTCCTCCCCTTCCATTTGACCCTAGCCTATCAGGTCTCATCAGGACTGGCTGCATTGTCTTCCTCTGTGGTCTGGTAAGGCTGTTCCTCCCTCCCTCCTTCCCCAGGGGGAGGTGATCTAAGAGCCAGCCACTGTGTTCATGTCAGCCAGTCCCTGTTCCCCTTACTAGGGTACCCACCTGGAGACTCAGTTCAGTTCCAAACACCATCTAAACAAAAGTTCTCTAATGAAGCTTTTGATTCCTAAGAACTATGACCACTGGACTAGTTATAATTACATATGCACTTCTATCTGCTAAACCATCTTGTTGGCTGCCAAATTTTGGGGGATAAGATTTGCCCATTACACCTATTTTTGACTGAAGTAGAAATTCTTACCACTAAGCCTGATGGCTTGGGCTTGATTTGGATAGCCCACATGATGGAAGGAGAGAAGCAGCTCCCATAAGTTGTCAAACTACATAAATTTTATTGTTTTAAAAATCAGTAAGCCAAGCAGGACTTCTTACTCTTGGAAATGACCCAGATTCAGCTTCCAGAACCCACATGACACCTCATCACTATCTGTAACTTGAGTTCCAGGGGTTCCCAACCCCCTTTCTGGTCTGTGCAGGCTGAAGACACACACATACCTGTAGGCATTTTAAATAAAGAATAAATAAAAACGACTTTCGGGCAGTGGTGGCACACACCTGTCATCCCAGCACTTAGGGAGGCAGGGGCAGGTGGATTTCTTGTGAGTTCGAGGCCAATCTGGTCTACAAAGCGAGCCCAGAGGAGCCACAGCTACACAGGGAAAATCCTGTCTTGAAACTTGAGTATACACCAGAGCATTTCCCATGGGGTAACTTGGACAAGGTCTCCAGAGTTGTAGTTTGAAACTGTAAGATGACACCAAGTGTTGTGAGTAGGGGTCTTCTCCCTGTCAGCATGACCGCACCCCTCACACTGTGGTGGCATTAACCTCCTCTACTGTCCTCCTTCAGGCTCTGGTGTTCTGCTCTTTATTTTCCATGCAAACTTTCTGGGTAAAGAAGTCATTGCTCGGCTCTGTGGACCATGCAGTGTACAAGCTGTAGTTTTAAATGATAAATTTCAACTTCCTGTTTTCCTGGTAAGATTTTCAGCTGTTCATTATTGAAAATTATGGTCATATTATGACATAATATATAATGTGTATGGAGGTGCTCTGAGCACCTTGGTGTGAAGTGTGGGTGTCAGGGGTCAGAGGTCAGTTCCACCATGTGGGTCATCAGGCTTAGCAACAAGAAACTTGATCCCCAGACAAGGGGTCTTGTTACAGTCCAGGTTACCTGTGGGCAGTGTGCCCTACCTGGCTGGGAAATTGAGTACTTATAGCAAAACCCATGTAATGCTGTGTGTACATGGTAGCCCACCTGTCAGCTGTGCTGTCTGACAGGTGAGCTTATGGCTTGATTGAGAGACACTGCCCATAAAGGATGATTCCCAACAATCAACCTTAGACTTGTGCATTTGTTTGCATGTGCCAAATACACCCCCCACATATCCACACACAACAATGGATCATTCCAGTATAATGAGAGTCAGACAGTTCACAGTTATTATTAAAAATTCACATTTATTATCAAAAACCCAAATTGTTTTTAATGTTTATTTATTCACTTTAAAATATGCTGCAGTCTGAGAATAATCTCTTAGATCTGAGAACTTTTTACATGAAGGCAGAATATTAAGTGGTTATGTTTATGCTTGTTAATGCAAAATGAGTGCTGTTGTTGGTTGTTTTGATTTGGTTGAAATAAGGCTACTATCCAAAAAGCTAGAGGAAGTTGACCATCGACCCATGATACTCTTTGGATTTTGGAGACAGGGTTTCTAAAACTCCGTAGCCCTGGCTGTCCTGGACTTTGTAGATCCACCTGCCTCTGCCTCCCTGAACACTGAGATTACAGGCGTGGGCCACTGCAGCTGGCCAACCCTTCATACTTTTACCAGAAAGCACATCATCACTCCTTTTTGCCACTTCTGGAATTCTCTAAGCATTGTATTGAATGTAGCCATTTTTCTGTGCTTGGTGCTATACTGGGTGTCATCACGCAGCCTCAGGTAGCCTAGAACTAAGTGCAGACATGCGAGGCCTTGAACTTGCATTGATCCTCCACCTCTGCCTCCCAAAACAAACTTGTTGAGGGCCTGGGAGATAATACAGTAAGGACATTTCATGTACAGGTAGACAGATAGTACCTAGCTGTTCACTGGCTGGCTCACCAGACAAGCTGAGCCATCAGCTCTGACCCACACAGATCCTATCCTAAAATTGTAGGTCTCCACTGTAGGTGTCGCAGATGTGAGTCTGACTTGATTTTTCTTTCCTCTCTAGGATAGTCACTTTGTCTACTCGTTCAGCCCTGTGGCCGGACCCAATAAGCTGTTTATAAGGTTGACTGAAGCACCCTTTGCCAAGGTGAAAAAATCTTCGCTTTGTCTCTACAGTTACTGCTTCTTAAAAAAAAAAGAAAAAGAAAAATTCTCTGGAAATGTCTGTGCACATAGTGCAGACAAGTCCTCTGCACGAGGCCTGCCATGGGCACACCTGGCTGAGGGTTAGCCTGAGAGCTTCCCTGCAGCCTTACACTGCTACTGTGTGGCTGGGCCTACGCAGGCAAGATCTCTCCAAGATCTTGTGGGAGTGTTTTCTTTTTCTTTATTACAAATAGCCCTAACCTAATGCTCTGACAAGGTGGGAGCTGTACATACTGACCCCTCACTTCTCTCCCTTAGGTGAAATTGCTAATAGGTGCATACAGAGTGCAGCTGAACTGACCAAAGGACTGAGACCAGGCTTCTTTCTGCTGTATTCCCAAGTCCAAGTCTGAAATGTTCCTATATAGTTCTATCTGTAAACTTGCAATGTAAGACTGTTGCCTGTTAAAGTACAACAGGGCTTTATGTTTATAGTCTTCATATACGTATTTGTGCCATTGTTCAGAATGTTCTGCATAGTTTATTTCCACAATGTGGAACACTATATATGAGAACTATCTAAAGATTAAAAAACCTGAATTTGAAATTTTCTACTATTCTTTCTAAGTCATGTCTTTGGAGAACAAACTAGAAAACATTCGGGCTAGGTCATGGTGGCTCCTGCTTGTAACTCTATACTTAAAGGTGGTACAGCATTTCCTGGCCATCCTGTGAAAGGGTGAGTCCCTTTTATCCCTAGCACCTGGGATGATGATGCTTGGAATGAACATGTACGGTGAATACACTGCTAAGGTTGATAAAGTGCTTGTTTGCTATGCATAAGAGGAGGCAGAAGGGCATCTGGCTACACGATGAGTTAGAAACTTACCTGGAAGGCCCGTCCCAATGTAACAAAACTTGAATTATTCCCTGTAGAAATTTCTCCTGTGGACTCTAAGGCGTTATCATTGCTCATAAGCATTAATTGCAACGTAAGGTTTTCTGGTCTGAAATTTCTGTTTTTCTCAAACATGCTGTGACCTGCAAGAGACAAATCTTTCATCGGTAAATATAAATGATATACATGTACACACACACACAGAGGCATTCTGTTCTCATTTTTAGACACACTCTTTCTACACGGCCTCAAACCTGCAGTCCTGCCTCGGGATCGTGGGCATGCTCCGCCATGCCCGGCCTACTCTGCGGGAGTGCACATTTTCAGAGGCTTCAGGGGCAAGCCTCCAATAAATAGTCACTACATTTTCACCTATTTAGGTGTTCTCTAATCTGGTGACTGTCTTGGGACTCACTCACACTTTTTAAACAGAACAAGACAAGGTTTCCTCAATGTCCTAGGCTGGTCTGGAACTGTCCTATGACACGGCTGTCCTTGAACTCACAGCAGTGCCACTGCAACAGCCCACTGAATGAGCACACCCAGTAAATGGTAGCAGGGTTCATGTTACATTTATATTTAAAAGTACATTTGACATTTTAGTAACTTGACTTGGTTCACCTATCTTTCTGGAGATAATCCATTTATTTCTTTTCCATGTTTCCATTTTTTTTTTTATTAGAAAATAAAATCTTTAACGTCTTACGGGCTGTAAAAAAAATGTGTAGTTTCAGCCAAGATTTGAGACGCAGAGGCAGGCAGATCTCTGAGTTCAAGGCCAGTCTGGACAGCCAGAGGTACAAAGAAAAACCCCATCTTGAAAAACAGCCCCCCCCGCGCCCCCCAAAGCCATACGTAATCTATGTACATTAGATCTATATTTTCACATTTCTGTTTCAAAATGTTATTTGATGAAAAAATTTTACATTATAGAGCAATTTGAAATTTTAATCCCAACAAGATTTGACAGTATGTATAATAAACATAAGCATACTTAAAAGGGCATGAAAATACAAACCATAATCACCCAAAGGCTTGAAAACTTCATGCTGTGCCCACTCTGCTGTCTTCTAGGACAGTACAACAAATATTACACTAGTCTAAGGGCCAAGTAGCAGAAACAAACCAAGCGGTGGTAGAGCTGGATAAGAGGGCGCCAGTGAATACCTTAAGAGAGGCAGTTAGCACATGACAGTGTTTCCTCAACTGTGTGTGCCTGGGTTCCAGGGTCTTGGTTGGTCTGATGTGTTTAGTTACTGGCCCTCTAGATCTGTTTACACCTATCCTTGTGTAAACCTGCATAAGACATACCTGATTGATTGATTGATTGATTGATTGATTGATTGATTAAATGGCCTATACCTGGGCAGAGCAGAATGGGGTGGGCACGGCTAAGGTTCAAAGGCGGGGGGAGGACAGGAGAATCACTAGAGACAGACAGACAGGAAGAGAGGCGGAAGGAGGACGCCACAATGGGAGAAGAAAACCACATTGGTCAAGAGGAAGGACTCTAAAAATGGTGTGAAAAGGCGCAGATAAAAATACAATCAAGTATCTTGGGATTACGGAAAGTAGACCAGACGCGGGGGATTGAGGTGGGTGGCACTGGTGGAGTATCTGCCTGGCCCAAGGTGTGTGTGTGTGTGTGTGTGTGTGTGTGTGTGTGTGTGTGTGTGTGTATTATAAAATCCATCAGTTGTCTGTGATAAATAATTAAATAATGCCGCCGTGATAACCTTAGGGCTGATAACATATAGCTCAATACTCCCCTCTTAATTACAAGATCCCTGTGTGTCCTGCTTGCAGATGCCTGTGGCAGGTCACTGGCGACACCTCACTACTGGTCCACAGCACCACAGCTGAGACATCTAGAAGAGCACAGGCGTGTAGGACAGAAACAACAGAGTTTTTGCTATGACATTAATTAACACACATACTTTCCATTACACAGCATTTTTAATGATGACACTTTCCAAAGGAAAGCTAAGTCTAAAAGTGTAGAATGTGGAGCTGAGAGGAGCCGAGACCCAGCAGCTGGAGCAGGATGGCCAAGCTTGCAGTTGGACCCGGGCAGTGACCCTGCAAACAGGTGGCTGTCGTCAGACAGAATCTCTTCCCAGAGACTAAGGCAGAGAAAGACAGATCCCATGTCTGAATATGCTCTTGCAAGAGGACCCCTCCTACAGGCCTCACTAGGTCTAGTCCCCCACACAACGCTAAACAGGAGCACAAGTACTGAGGCCTGGTTTTCCGTCTGGCAATGGGAAGGTCATGGGCCCTATTTGCTCTGGCTAAGTCTGACGTCTGGACACATTTTGGTAACCACACGACATAGCACTTTATCCCAAGATCAAGGCTAGAGAGGATTTTTGAGTGGCAGCTCAGCAGAATGCTGGAGAGAGCCAATATTGTTGCTATCAAAATGAAAGCTTTCAAGTATTGAGAATGTGGGGATGTTTCAGCCAAGGCCTCCAAGCACTCTGTGGATTACCCAGCCTGGAGCATAAAACACCATCCTTCTCACAGAGTACAGTACACACATTGCCTCTTGGACACAGGTAGCATTGTAAAGTTTTAGCTCAAACTCTCAACTGTCCAATGCCAAAACATTGGGCTTGGTAGCACATTCCTTACTCCCAGACTGGTTTCAAGAGCTCTAGGCTAGCTAGGACTCCACAGCGAGACACTGTCTTAAGCAACAACCAGAAGAGAAAAGGAAACACTGGGACTCTGGCCATGGTGTACTCCAGTGGCAGGACACGTGCATGTGCTAAGCTGGGCGCAAAGCCACAGGACCACCAGACATGCAGAGGCCTGCTGCCCATCACTCACTGGCTGAGGCAAAGGGTTACAATCAGATGGTGGCTCTGGTAAGAGACCGGCCACTCTTCCAGAAAGCCCCGGGTTGATTCCCAGCACCAACATGTGGCGCACAACTGCCTATAACTCTAGTTCCAGGGAATCCAGAGCTTGCTTCTGTGGTCTGTAGGCACTGGGCACACATGCAGGGCACAGACACACATGGAGCAAAACATTAACAGCCACAGAACTGAAGAGAAATGTCCACGACCAGTCCAAACTACCCAGTGAGTTACACAGTAAGTAAGACTAACCCCACCAGCACTGGGACCAGTACCCATGTCAGCACAATCCGGATTCAGAATTGCAAGAGGAAGCTCGCTTCTGCGCAGGCTCCAGTTAACCTACCGCAGCAGCGCGTGCCCAGCAGTCCTGGTGTGGCAGCTCTTCTGTGTTAGACCAGCAACTTCATGTTGCCTTCACAACCTAGGAACAGAAAAAAATCGGATTTTAGCCCTTTAAAAATCAGACATTGTAACTGATCTCTTAAAAGTTCCCAAGTTATCAAGACTCCAGTAAGATACCATCTTGTGCCTACTTTTATTTTTATTCAGAGGGTAATTTCTCTGATCCAACATTATTCCCAGTTTCCTCATTGAGCAATGACTCAATGAAGATTCAGATTAATTTCCTACCATGGCACTTAACACTATAAGCCCTAAATTCTAGAAGATCTTCAAATCTGTTGGCAAATGAAAATTTACATTTGTGTGTGTAAGCATGTTACAACATAGGTGAATGTGAAAACATTCCCTCCTTCCACATGTCAATTAGAGAGCAAACTGGGGCCAGGTGCAGCAACAGGTGCGCCACCTTGACGGTCCATTTAAAAAAAAAAAAAAAAAAGGCTTTCCTGGGCTCACAACTCTGCCTGTGGGGATTACAGGCATGCACCACTACGATCCAGGGGGTAAAAGCCTTTTAAACCAAATCTTTATCATCACAGTTTTCTTTCACAGATGATTGGTCCCTTAACACAACTTTAAAATGCAGTTATAGAGGCTGAAGAGATGGCTCAGAAGAGTGCCAGAAGATGAGCTCCAATCCCAGGAGATCAATGTCTTCAGGCCTCTAGGTATACGTGTGCCTGAACAGTACAATCAGGCAAAAGACCCAACCACGTTTTAAAAATTAAAACCCATAATTTCTTCTACACAAAACTGTCTACTTGTATCTGTCTGGCTCCATCAAGAGTTCTCCATCTTGGAATATGCTGGGTAATGTTCCACAGAGAACATGAACGTGACTTTACAATGAGAGACTGGTGTACAGTTTATCTGGTCCTTGCAAAATGTGTTGTTCTAACATAATGGAAATGTTAATAAAGTAGGACACAACAGTAATGTGATAATTGCCACTATCAGATTTAGATTCAGTTTTCCTCTTTTTTTGGGGTGTGGGTGGTTTTGGGGCAGGATTTCTCTATGTAGTTCTGGCTGTCCTGCAACTCCCTCAGAGATCTGCCTGCATCTGCCTCCCGAGTGCTGGGACTAAAGTATGAATTACTACCTCCTGGCAGGTTCAGGTTTTCATATCTGTTAGGAATACATCACCAGAAAACGCTGGGATTCTTACCTATACTAGTAGTGTCTTAAAGGTTTTAAACCTGATATACTGCCCCAAATTCAACTCTGGATGAAATATTCTTGCAGAAAAAGGCTTACAAATTTCTGCAATTACTCACTGGGGATTCACCGGCCTGTACCTTTAATGATTTATAGAAACCATGGTTTTGTTGTAAAACCTTGTATTTTTTGTAAAGTGTGCTATAAATCAAACAAAACGATTGTATTGCCAAAGTGTGGGGAGGGAGGATCTCTGAGCCCACCAAAGATTAAACAAGGGCATTTTCATATACTAAGATACACAGTCCCATGCATACTCCTATGATTGAAAGACTATTACAGACACGTTATTCCTAAGAAAAGAGCCACTCTCTATCAATGAACCCATTCTCTGGGCCTCTAAGGGGTTCTAGAAAGTGAAACAGCCCTTTCCCACCACGTGTCACATGTAACACATTACATAATACACTAAATGGGACAATAACTCAGGAAGGCTGATACACCCCAATGCTGTGGAGGCTGTTATTAAATCACATGTGAACAGTAAAAACTCTTTAAGGCAAACACTGAAAAATCCTTGCTAGAAAGTAATCTAAATAAAAGGTGACATTTCCTGAGTCTGTAGGTTTTTAGCCAGTACAAATAACTTTCCCAGAGGCAGAGGCAGGCAGATCGCTTTGAGTTGGATGCCAGCCTGGTCTTCAAAGAGAGTACAGGACTGCCAAGGCTATACAGAGAAGCCCCGTCTCTAAAAACCAAAAAAAAGAAAAACTTTCCACCAGAAATTGTTCCCTACTCACAACAGTGATCCTTTCCCAAGAAATTCACGTTTTGAGGGGACTTACTGGCAAATACGACCATAAGAATCTGCAGAGAGCAGTACTCACAACCAACTATGGTCCTCTGCATTTGTGACAGACACAGTACAGACAGCCAGAGCAGGAAGAACGGGCTAGGGTCTTTTCTAGGGGAAAACTGATCTTTTCCTTTAATATCTTTTTAAAGATTTATTTATTATATATACAGTGTTCTGCCTTGACACGATCTCATTTACAGATGCTCATGAGCCACCATGTGGTTGCTGGGAACTGAACACTGGCCCTCTGGAACAGCAGTGTCTTAACCATTGAGCCATCTCTCCCAGCACCTCATTTTTTTTCTATTAAAGCTTACAGGGTAATATTTGATGGAGTTATCAAAGAAATGTTAGGGTTTTAAATACATAACATTTAATAATTTACAACCTGATTTCATCAAATACGATTTTTTTCCCAAGATATTGGATTTTATGTATCCCAGGTTAGCTTTGCACTGTATTACTGAATTCTGACCTTCCTACCTCTACCTCCCAAGTACTGGAGTGGATAAGTAACTTGGAAGAAAAAATGAGTTGGCCCAGTGCGCAGTCCTCAGATTTCAATACAGCAAATTCAAGCGAAATGTTAAAACCATGGGGCCCTAGCAGGTGCAGGGCAGCTGAAAGGAAAATGACAGCAAGGAGCCTGTAAAGACTCCTCAACCTAGGTGGCTGGAGAGATGGCTCAGAGGTTAAGAGCACTGCTTGCTCTTTCAGAGGTCCTGAGTTCAATTCCCAGCAACCACATGGTAGCTCACAACCATCTATAGTGAAATCTGGTGCCCTCTTCTAGCGTTCAGGTGTATATGCAGGCAGAACATTGTGTACATAATAAAAAACAAATCTAAAAAAAAAAAAAAAAAAAGACTCCTCAACCTTGTTTCCACCCTCAGATTTCTACTTTGTGCTTTGGTTACACAGCCCCACCTGGTCTAGAACTCAGTGTGTAGGCCAGGCCAGTGATGTATTTACGGCACCTTCCCTGCCCCGGCACTAACCCAGGGAGGTGTCAGACACCAGGTACAGGGGTGACCCTGGCCTCTCTCAGCCTTGGAGACTGTGGTCCTATTTCCTTCTCAACTAGCTCAGCATCGCACTGAATCTGTGATCCTCCTGTCTCAGCTTCCGGAGCAGCTAGGACGGTGGGGCTGGGCTGCAAATGCTCAGCTCTACTGGGTTTTCCCAAACAAAACCCAGCATCACGCGTGTAGTTTCATAAGCATGTCAAAGTGAAAAGGCAGTCCAAGAGAGGAAGCAGAGTGTAACCTAGTTAGGCTACACCGCAGTGACAGCTTTATTTAGTTTAGCTGCACTGTTTTCTTTAAAAGATCAGTTTTCAAGTCTAAATTATTGCCATCTCCCAAGGTCAGCCACTTATTTAATGACACGAGAGTGGTTAAGAGCACTCGCTGCTCCTCAGGCTCTGGGTTCAGTTCCCAGCACCCACATGGCTGTAGCTCCGGGGATGACACCTTCTTCTGGCAACAGGTATGTGTGGGTGCACGCACACATGTGCAGGGAAAATTCACATAACAAAAAAGTCTTTGGAGATACTTTTTCACTAAAAATATTAAATTGCAAAGTATCAAGTAATATTCAAGTTTTCCCTCACCACTTACTTAAAATAGCACCTTTGCGGATACCATGAACATCATGCTGTGAAGAAAAAAGCATTTTGCGTTGTTAAACTGCGAGCATTATACACGTCCAAGCGCAGCACTAGTGGAACCTGAACGTTATGTGGACAATTCGCTTCAGTGTGGTGATGGAACAGGTGCTACAGGGCTCCGGAGGCAGGTGCTCACCTGCAGCAGGGCTACCGGCACCTCGCTGGTCCACCCTCGAGGCACGATTTTGTAATGGGATGACGCAGCTGTGGCGGCCCGTCCATAATTATGGCGACCCAGCCATAATGTCACATGATGAGGTCTGAATGTATGAACACTTGAGTTACTTAGCCAGTTCACAGGACTGCAATCCCGGCTACCTGGGAGGCTGACAGGCCTGGGGACAGAGTGAGCCTCGAGGGCAGCCATCCTATTTGCTGGTAAGCAAGTCAAAACGTTGACACAACGTAAAGCATCTTAACAGAGTACACAGAAATCAGGCGTAATAAAAGCCTACACTTCACTCCATGCCATGATGCGGCCGTCTTCACTGCCTTTCCCAGCTCTGTGCAAAGAGCACCTCCCTTAACTCCACTGTGCTCCCTGCTTCCCATGTCAGTCACAACCACCCCAAAACACATGGTGTAAAGAAATTCCATTCTAACTCTTCTAATGGTCCCAACATCACCCTGAATGAACTGCCCGTTCACTAATTCAACAGAAGTGCATGCAGCACCAAGGTGAGGTCTCCATGTCCCAGGAAGTTATTTACCCTTAGCAGAGGGCCAAGAACCGTCTAGCAGGTAAGAATCTCTTAGTAAATCCAACAGGCAGGGAGCGAGAAGGGATGGGAAAGGGTCACAACCTGATGCCACAGACCGAAACAAGTGCTCTAGAAGAGGGCTGGGCTGCCAGGCCTCAAACACCACACCAGGCAGCTGCTAAGACCAGAGCCTGAGTCTTCTATCACCCTGAAATGTTTCCTTCCTCTTCTTGAAGTGACTAAGAAGCAAAGAGCTCTGGAAGATCTAACAGTTAGCAGTTACCTCATTTCTCACTAGCCAGTGTTTCCTGTCTTATAATTCTGCAAGGCTGAGACTGGAGAGATGGCTCAGAAGGTAAGAGTGCTGTCTGTTCTTCCAGAGGTCCTGAGTTCAATTCCCAGCACCCACAATAGTGGCTCAAAACCATCTATACTGGGATCTGGTGCCCTATTCGGGCATGCAGGTGTACACGCAGATATAACACTCATGTAAAATAAATATTTAAAAATTTTTCTGTAGGGCCTGCAACCCACTTCTCTGTAGAGGGGTGCAGGTCCGGCTCTTCAATCCCCTCTAGGCCATCTTGTTATTGTGTTACGTTTTGGGACAGACCCCCTGTGCAGCCCAGTTTGGC